CCACGACATGGGCCCCATCCCATCATGCTGAGCAGTACGGGTGGATGCCCATGTCATTCCTTCTTAACTATCGACGACTTTTGGGCGTCCAGCCCCACCAAGGGGTAGAGATCTCTTGAACGGACCTGTGCAGAGAAAAGCTGGACCGAGTCCAAGTGAGAGGAAAAAAAACCTCATCAATGGCGACGGGACAGGGTAGACGTAGGCCATGTCCCCTGCTAGCAGTAGGCATGTGCAGACAGCGCCCTGTCCTATGCCTGTCCGCCGTCACATCCGTCATTCCTGCTGCTAGTGGCCTGTCAGTGTGCATGCTCGCCACATTAAATACAGCGTGCCACGGCCGACAGGACCTCATTAAACACAGTAGTTGGGCGCTGGGAACGCCTGCCCAGGGCGCACACACGAATCACGAATCAGAGCGAGGAGGGGGTCCCAACTCGGAAACAGCCACCACTTCAACACCCCCCCTCCCGGAGGGGGGGGGGGGGCGGCACGTGGGTTTGAGGCGGCTTCCTCCCTTTGTATGGGGGGTACCCTGGGCCCATATCACTGACACTCACTTTCTTGTTCGAACTAAATTGACCACTAACAAATATTTCTATTATAGGGAGCATAGGTGCGCATCCCTGTACAATAAGGAACCACACCTCTGATAGAACTATAAGGATCATGCGCCTTAATGCTTGATCTAAAGTTAGGCGCCAGTTCCACATTGCATTGATTTTCGTCAAAACTTTTCACAACTATAGTTTAATGAAAGGCATGCAAACAGTTTTAACAAGCAAAAAATAACGATAACTACGTTCAAAATTAGATGCACTTAGATACAAACCAAGAATCCTAGTTCATCCCCACTAAGTGTAGATAATGCTACTTCTCTCTTCTCTCATTAAGCCACATCACCCCAATAATTTATAGCCTTTGGATGATAGATCTATGGTTTAAATTGTCTCTTCTTTCTTCTCTCTTAAAAATATGCAATATCAATTATTTTTAGTCTCAAAATTATATCAAATTATTTTAGTTTTGATAATCAAATTACGTCTTATTTGTACATATTATGCAACTTAATTTTCCGCAGCACACGGCGGGTAGTCATCTAGTAATATTATATACGAGAGATAGTCGTAGTTGAAACAAAGCGACTAGTAATTAGGCATTTAAATATTTAACGTGCACAACTAATGCTACAAAAAAAGGACTCATAATTCTTAAATGAAAAATAATTTGTGTATAAAATATTTATATACGTGTTCTTAGCAATTTAAAAACAAATACTAAAAAATAAACTTCGAAATTTAAATTTTAACTGATAAGTATAAGCAAAAGCGAAAAATGTGAGGCCCAGAAACTCCCGCGATCCACTTCTCAACATCTGGGCCGTCGTCCATCCAGCACGGATCTTGAAGCAGGAAGGCCCATTAGCAAACCCTAGACAGCAACGCCACCGCAAATAAATAGCTTCGCTGCCCTTCCCCCTATCCCTCTCCTCTATTGCCGCCGCCGCCGCTCCCAGCTCGTGCTCCCCTCGCCGCCGCCGCCGCCGCCGCCTCGCCTCCTCGGAGATCTTCGCTGCCCTTCCGCCAACATGGGGTAAGCTCCCCGTCACTCTCCTGCGATGGATTTCGTCTGTATAGGTTTAGCGATCTGGAATGGCTTAGTCGAGTTCCCTCGTAGCTGGATGCTTGAATATACCACTTGAGTTTTGTATGCGCAATACTTGTAAATTGGTAAATTTGCGTGTGATGGAACTAAGCTTATTGACGGTCCAGTGCTGATCAGATTATAAACCGTCAGCACTAAACATATTCATAAGCGATATCAATCCGTTGCTGCTGTTTAATCAGAATTTCTTGGATCAATTTACTTGGATCTGGGAGGTTATGCATGGTAGCATACACTGTTATCATTTTTATTGTTTAAAGGAATCGCCATTTGTTTAGCTGTCAAATCTTAAGCCTGACTTTGCAAACAACTATCGACTTCTGATGGCAAATTTATTACATATTATGTTCATCAAAGAACACTGTTTCTTATGCTTGCTAATAGTCTGAATCTGGATGGCATACCCCTTTCAATTATTCATTTCATCCCTTTACATTGTGCACGCGTTCTTTTCTAGCACTATGTTATATGTCAACCATCGAATTGTAGATCATAATATTGTTTTAATATAGTTGCATTGACCATGAATTCTTCAAAATGCAGGAAGACACGTGGTATGGGAGCTGGGCGCAAGCTCAAGACCCACCGCAGGAACCAGAGATGGGCAGACAAGGCCTACAAGAAGAGCCACTTGGGTAATGAGTGGAAGAAACCCTTTGCTGGGTCATCTCATGCCAAGGGCATCGTTCTGGAGAAGATGTATGTAGAAACTATAATATGGTTTTGTCACCCTTTGCCTTGTGAGTTTATGCTAATGTGAGAAATTTGATGGCTCTATTGCAGTGGTATTGAGGCCAAGCAGCCCAACTCTGCCATCCGTAAGTGTGCTCGTGTGCAGCTTGTGAAGAATGGGAAGAAGATTGCTGCCTTTGTGCCCAATGACGGTTGCCTGAACTTCATTGAGGAAAATGTACATTCTTCATCCTGCACTTTCTCGAATGTTTGCTCTGTCACCTGTACTTACTTCTCATGTCATTATCCAGGATGAGGTGTTGATTGCTGGATTTGGTCGTAAGGGCCATGCTGTGGGAGATATTCCTGGTGTCCGATTCAAGGTCGTCAAGGTCTCTGGTGTGTCTCTCCTTGCTCTCTTCAAGGAGAAGAAGGAGAAGCCCAGGTCTTAGATTACTGGTACATCTTGGTTGGCAAGCATGGAATAGACAGAATGAAGGCTTTAGATGCTCAAGAAGATGGTTCCTTGCTATGTTTAAAGTGCACTCTCTATATTGTTAACTTAAGATTGTGTTGGTAAAAACCATGCCTTGTCATCAGATTTTGCTTCTGTCGAGGGAAAGTACTATGCTGAGTTTTTATCTTAGTTGCCAATGTTTATCTGTGTTTGTGTTTGAGGATCCTTGACCCTTGAGGTATTGTTCGGCTTAGCTCTGTTCACTGCGAATTGCTACTCTTTGGAGTTCCCTGTGGCTAATACATATTTAGGCCAACTATGTGGTACTCTAGAGTACAGATAGAAGTGGTGCTGCAGGAATCATCAGAATGAACGCATGTCATTTACTTGGGTTCGTTTGCATATCATCGAATTTGGTCGACGAAAATTGGAATTTTGTTGCCTAAATTTAGAGGCTCTCTCAAACCACCGGGTTATTATGTGACATTAGTCATCTTCCGGGTGCTTACCTCACCAAAACAAGATTACAAACGCGGCTTTCAGATCAATTGAAAATATCCGAAACAAAGATCGCAAACGCTGCTTTCAGATCAATTGGTAAAGATATAAACAGTGATCTTTCATGTCCCCTTTATGACATTAGTTAATGTAAATTGATAGTTTTCGGTAAGTCTAAACCCCCCCTTGAATTTTGATTAAAAGTTTACCAAACACCTGCACTTTGAAATTGGACATCCGACCTCCCAAACTATATGATACCGTTAATATAACACCATAAGATGGTTTTATAAAGTGGATTTATCTAATTTGCATATAAGTTGAATAAGTTTGACCATATGATGTATATGCTGCACATATATGTTAAAATTTCCTCCTTTTTTTTTTTTGCTTTTGCCCCATTTTTTGCTCTCACCTACAATTGGTGTATATATAATACCATTATGGTATCTATAGTATAAATTGATCACCAATGATTAACAATATGTAAACATGCTATATTAATTATTCAAAACCACTCATTTAAGTTTCCTAATGTGCAATACCACATAGCCATCTTAGAAGGTAATATGAACAACATTGTAAATTGTTGATCGGAATGTTACTCTATAACGTACTCTTGTTTTGTCCAGCATATCATCACCATTCAGATGGAATATCATGTGATTATCTTCTCCCGATCATCTCGTACTACATGTGTCGCTGATCACATGACTATATAACACGTGTCTCTCTCAGTATCTAATTTTGCCATCGACAAAAAATAGTAGTCAAGCCATGTAGATCTTGAAAGAAGACGTTAACAAGACGACAAACAATTGTTATACATTGTGAAAACTATTAACTTGACATTTTTTACTCCAGTATTAAGTTAAAAATTCTATGGTCTCGTTTTCAAAATTGTACACAACAAATTGAAATTTTCAATTCAACTTTTAAAACCTCCAACCTTTTAATTTCTCACGCGACCATGCACGACTTTGGAGAGTGAATGCGCGCACGTCGCTGCATCTCCCACGATAATATATACTACCTACATGTCTCAATATACATTATGCTTATACACATAACAAAATTAAATTAGACTACCCATTTCAATAGGAATTAAAAAAATATCCTAAAATAGACTAATTATTGAACGCACCCATACAAAAGTGTGACATGATCCCAAAATAAACTATTTTATCACACCACGCAAAAAAAGGGCCATGTGACATAAATCACACTGTAGTGCTTTAGAATGGGCGGCTTCAATATGAATACAAACTAATTCTAAAATAAAATATTTATCAAATGTGTGGCAAACAATAATAGAGATATGTGACATTATCCTAAAATAAAATATTTTATCACAAGCTCAAAAAAAAAATCCGTGCATGACATGAGTTATAATTGAGAGATCTGCACATAAAAAATCCACTGAGCTCTGGATATAGCCTTTCTTTTATATATTCATTCATTCATACCAGACCATCTCCGGTTTGAAAAATATATTTGTTAACAAATAATATTGCACCTTAACATTTAGCATGAACATATTACTATCAAATAAAGGAAAAAATCGTGCTATACGTCCATTCTCCACGTGGCATGCCAGGTCCACCGTCGGATTCTATCACTTCCCGCGATCCACTTCTCAACATCTGGGCCGTCGTCCATCCAGCACGGATCTTGAAGCAGGAAGGCCCATTAGCAAACCCTAGACAGCTACGCCGCCGCAAATAAATAGCTTCTCTGCCCTTTCCGTTATCTCTCTCCTCTATTGCAGCCGCCGCCGCTCCCAGCTCGCGCTCCCCTCGCCGCCGCAGCCGCCGCCGCCTCGCCTCCTCGGAGATCTTCGCTGCCCTTCCGTCAACATGGGGTAAGCTCGCTGTCACTCTCCTGCGGTGGATTTTGTCTGTATAGGTTTAGCGATCTGGAATGGTTTAGTCGAGTTCCCTCGTAGCTGGATGCTTGAATATACCACTTGATTTTTGTATGCGTCATACTTGTATTTTGGTAAATTTGCGTGTGATGATGGAACTCAGCTTATTGACGGTCCAGTGCTGATCAGATTATAAACCGTCAACACTAAACATATTCATAAGCGATATCAATCCGTTGCTGCTGTGTAATCAGAATTTCTTATATCAATTTACTTGGATCTGGGAGGTTATGCATGTTAGCATACACACTGTTATCATTTTTGTTGTTTAAAGGAATCGCCCTTAGCTTAGCTGTCAAATCTTTTTGTGGTTTATGCTAAGCCCATCACTTTGCAAACAACTATCGACTTCTGATGGCAAATTTACATATTATGGTCATCAAAGAACACTTTCTTATGCTTTTGCTATTAGTCTGTATTTGGATGTCATGTCTCTTTCAATTGTTCATTTCATCCCTTTTCATTCTGCACACGTTCTTTTCTAGCACCGCACTATATGTCAAACCGTCGAATTGTACACCATAATCTTGTTTTAATATAGTTGCATGAACCATGAATTCTTCAAAATGCAGGAAGACACGTGGTATGGGAGCTGGGCGCAAGCTCAAGACCCACCGCAGGAACCAGAGATGGGCAGACAAGGCCTACAAGAAGAGCCACTTGGGTAATGAGTGGAAGAAACCCTTTGCTGGGTCATCTCATGCCAAGGGCATCGTTCTGGAGAAGATGTATGTAGAAACTATAATATGGTTTTGTCACCCTTTGCCTTGTGAGTTTATGCTAATGTGAGAAATTTGATGGCTCTATTGCAGTGGTATTGAGGCCAAGCAGCCCAACTCTGCCATCCGTAAGTGTGCTCGTGTGCAGCTTGTGAAGAATGGGAAGAAGATTGCTGCCTTTGTGCCCAATGACGGTTGCCTGAACTTCATTGAGGAAAATGTACATTCTTTATCCTGAACTTCTTGAATGTTTGCTGTGTCACCTGTACTTATTTCTCATGTCATTATCCAGGACGAGGTGTTGATTGCTGGATTTGGTCGTAAGGGCCATGCTGTGGGAGATATTCCTGGTGTCCGGTTCAAGGTCGTCAAGGTCTCTGGTGTGTCTCTGCTTGCTCTCTTCAAGGAGAAGAAGGAGAAGCCGAGGTCTTAGATTACTGGTACATCTTGGTTGGCAAGCATGGAATAGACAGAATGAAAGGCTTTAGATGCTCAAGAATGAAGGCTTTAGATGCTCAAGAAGATGGTTCCTTGCTATGTTTAAAGTGCGCTCTTTATATTGTTAACTTAAGATTGTGTTGGTAAAAACCATGCCTTGTCAGATTTTTGCTTCTGTTAAGGGGAAAGTACTGTGCTGAGCTATTTTCTCCGATTTTGAGGCGCCAATGTTTTGTTTGTTTCTTTGATGACTCCAGCTCGTTTCGTTCATCTGTTCTTTGTTTGAGCCTGAAGCATCGTTTAGCTATTGATTTTTATATGCTCGTATGGTTTCCGGTTATCTTCGTCGGCGTCCCTTTGATTTACTGGCTTACTGCTAGTCACATGCACATATTTACTGTGACTCTAATATGATACCTGCGCTTATGTTTTGCATTTGCTTGGATTCATCCCTTTGATTCATCTCCCAAACGGCCAAACCATCCGATTTGTGCTGAATTTTTTGAAATTCATCGTTTTGCCGGGGCTTGCATTTCACCCCTAAACATTTACAACTCTAAAAACAGCTCTTCTTCAGAACAATTGGTAAAAAAACTAAAACGAGTGATCTTCAATTTTATTGATGACAGCTCTTCTTCAGATCAATTGGTAAAAAAACTAAAACGAGTGATCTTCAATTATATTGATGATGTGAATTATGTATTTTCTTACTACTCTAAGCCTTTCAGATATACTACAATATTGGTAAAAATAAATTGTCCCGTCCAACGCTATATGATGTACTGCCGAAGTTTATATAAAAATATAACAATATTTTTCATACAAAGAAAAAAATATATCAAAACATGTTCAATATTAGATGTAAATGGAATGCTACAAGTGTTGTTATATTTTACCATAAACTTGGTTAAAATTTTAAGAAGTTTGACTTAAAAAATTTAAAACAACTTACAATATGATGAAACGGAGAAGTATTCTACAAGTAAATTTGAACATGATGTGAAATTTCCCAATCCAGATCAATGCGTAAGAAATTCCCCAGTCCAGTTCAAATTATTTGTTCTGCGATTACTAGATATAAGCTAATATATATTTTCATCTATAGTAGATACAATATAATAATAAGAGTGAATTACGCTTTGGGCCACATTATAAATTTGCTATTGTTGCAATTTGGACCACCACGAACGATTTTTTTCAGTACAATTAACAATCTTAAACACATCAACTTTAATATACGGCCAAACTCCTATATGTATGGTTCATATGTTTGTTGAAAGGGAAGTTAGGCATGACGAGAAAAATTGTTTACGGTAGTCCAAACTGCAACAATGATAAATTTACCCGGTCCAAATTGAAAAGATAGGTTTAAGGGTAGTTCAAATTGAAACTTGGGTAATAAAAGGTAGACCAAAGTGTAATATACTCTAATAATAATTAAAAGAGAGCAAACCAAATAAAGCCCAAACAGCAAGTGCTCCCGGGTCCACCGGTCAGCACCCAGGGTCTCGAACGGCCCGGATACCCCGGCTGCCCCCATCGCACCGGCCCAAGCCGCTTCTCCCTTCTCCAGCGTCCGATCTCCTATTCCCCACCCTTCCTCACCGCACCATTCACCAACCGCCGTCTCCTCCTCCCCCCACTCTCGCCTTCCCCCCTCTCTCTCCTCTCCTCTCCGCGACTCCCTCCACCCCCGCGCGCGCGCGTTTTTTTTTTTTCGTAAGGTACGGATCCAACGACGCTGCTCGGCTGCTCCTCTCCCCACCACCATCTCTGATGGTTTGTTGCTGTGATGATGATGATGGATCTAGGGTTTTTGGAGGGCGGCGCGGGGATGGCGGACGCGGGGCACGACGAGAGCGGGAGCCCGCCGAGGAGCGGCGGGGTGAGGGAGCAGGACAGGTTCCTGCCCATCGCCAACATCAGCCGCATCATGAAGAAGGCCGTCCCGGCGAACGGCAAGATCGCCAAGGACGCCAAGGAGACCCTGCAGGAGTGCGTCTCGGAGTTCATCTCCTTCGTCACCAGCGAGTGAGTCTGCGCGGGCTCGGTACCGTGATCCTGCCCTCCCCACACCTTCTTTTGTGATGGTTGGTTTAGGGTGTGATTTTGCTTTGCTTTGTGGTTTGGGCGGTGGTGCGGGATGGGACAGGGCGAGCGACAAATGTCAGAAGGAGAAGCGCAAGACCATCAACGGGGAAGATCTCCTCTTTGCGATGGGTACGCTTGGCTTTGAGGAGTACGTTGATCCGTTGAAGATCTATTTACACAAGTACAGAGAGGTAATTGTGCGCTTCGTACTCTCTGCCAGTATAAATGTTAAACCTTTCGTTGTTGTATGAATATCTGATGTCTCTTCTGTCCTCCTGGCAAATTTGCAATACGTGGGGATGTGCACTGTTAACTGCAGATGGAGGTACACCATCTACCATTCTACCCTCCTCAAAATCCCCTTTTTTCCCCAACAATATGCTATGGTTTCATGTGAATTTTTTTTTTGTCAACGCAAAAATGTGTCACTCTTGTAATCCTGCTTTTAGAACAATCCCACAAAAAATTGATATGCAATTATGCCCTTTGATTAGAGATAGTTGGTGCTCAACATGAAATGTACATATCCTACTCTGAACTGTAAGGTTAACACCTGAATCATTCTTTCATTCCTCTGCTTCATATACATTGAAGGAAAGCTAACCGCATCCATTTAGTATGTCACTGTTCAATTTGCCTGGAAATATATATTTGTGCCTTAGTAATACTCTAAGATCTATATTTGTGCCTTAGTAAAAGATCTATTTTTGTGCATCAAGATTCAAGATGTATTGAGTTCTAACCATACCACTATTCCTTATTCTTGGTAGGGTGATAGTAAGCTGTCCTCAAAGGCTGGTGATGGTTCAGTAAAGAAGGATACAATTGGTCCGCACAGTGGCGCTAGTAGCTCAAGTGCGCAAGGGGTTGGTATCAGTAACTTGTACTGCTTTGTTCTTTCTGATGTTTGAAAACACTGACATACTGATAATATTTTTAGATGGTTGGGGCTTACACCCAAGGGATGGGTTATATGCAACCTCAGGTAACCTAGCACTAGCATAGTATCATTTGTCAGCACAATGCTATGGTTCATCCTTGAAGCTAAACAAGATATAAAGTAATAATGCACATTCAACTTTTTTTTTCTAGCTGACACTGTTTATGCCATTACACGTGCAGTATCATAATGGGGACACCTAAAGATGAGGACAGTGAAAATTTTCAGTAACTGGTGTCCTCTGTGAGGTAAGATCTTTTGTACAGAAATCATTTGCCATCCTTGGGGCAGTTTTCAGTTAGATGTTTTTTTCACTAAAAATTGCCCGTTCTGTCTCAAGGTTCACATATACTACATCTGTATTTTTTTATTCTTTTTACATGTGAACTCTGGAGATGTTGAGCTGCACATGTGAAAAATTCTCCGAGTGCTTTTATACTTTTTCGCGCTCTTCTAGTTCTGACACAATACTCCCTTTTGCTGCAGTTATTATCCATCTGTTAAGGAAGAACCCACATTAGGGCCATATTTATTAGTAGAAGACTAAAGCACTTGAAGGGTGTTGGTTTAGAAAGGGTGTTAACAGTTGGCTGTGGCGATTGCTTCACAGATGTAAATTGCTTCATAAGTGGTTTAATGCTTGTTTTTGCCTGTATATTCAGAGCAATTTTCACATATTGGTAGTTCTGCAATCTTTTGCATTCCCATACATGTATCAGGTGGCACAAATCTATTGCAAGTACCCTAGCATTGAATAATGCTGGTTAACATATAATTCTGTAACGTCCGTATTGTTTCGACTGTGATGCTTGCCGTATGGGCAATGGCATGTGTTCTAGAGGGGGCATTCAATATTTAGGTATCTCAAGAATGTACCAAATACTCCCTTCGTTCAATTCAGAAACACCTTTTTTTAATGAGTGAATTGCACTTAGGACTAGGTTTTATTACCTTAGTTTCATATTAGACTAGGTATTTGCAAATGTTTTCAGATTGGACTAGGTTTTAATACCTTAGTTTCATATTAGACTAGGTATTTGCAAATGTTTTCAGATTGGACCAGGTTTTGGAAGCTAACTTCATTTACTGCATTGATGATTGGAGTAATTCAGTTAGATGTTCTTTTTTTTTTCTCTTCTACTGGAACGCTGATCTGATTAGAAGTAGTTTAGAGTACTGATCAAATGTGATGTGAATTGGGTATGTATGCAATCTGAATTTGAGTACTGTCAGTGTGACAAATAAGAATTGTGTATGTGATGTCAATCCGATAATGCCCATACTAATGTCGATTGAAGTAAATGTCTGTTTGGGTAATCCTACGTTTTCTTTGTTCTGAAGAAGAAAAAAAACTATGAAAAATGTTATATGGTTACAAGTATGTTTGGGGAGTTGTCTGAATGACACAGGTTTACACATACAGGTCCTGAATGTCAATTGGAGTACAGGTTAAAAGGAATGGCGTCTTTTCTTAATTCACTTAATTTACAGGTTAAAACATATAGGTTCTGAAGTACAGGTCTGTAAGACATCTTGGCAAACTGGTTGTAATGGCTGTCGATATCCTGAAACAACGAAATTACTAGAGATCTCACATTTTTTCTTGTGCGATCATGGCATGATGATGATGTTAATTTGCTGAACAAAACGTCTCATTGTCTGCATGTTATGAACACCATCTGCTCTTGACATTAGTTCATCTCATTTTCTCTAGCTGAGATAAGCGAAACAAAAAACTGAAAGAGCCTGACCCAAAAGCTCTGTAAGTTTTATTTTGAATCTCCGATTCTTGGTTGCCATCTCTAACTTTGCAAGCACATATTATTGTGTGGAGTACAATACTGAGAAGCATTCAGCAATGTTCTCTCACATACTACTCCATCCTGCTAGTCTCCTGAAGTGGCTAAATTTTCTACTCGATCAACTACTCCATACCACTAATCTCCTGGAGTATGTTTCGGGAGTAAAACACTCACTAGTACTGAACAGCACGAACGGAGTACATATACCCTGACACATTCCACATTCCATTACAGGTCATGCATAAAACTGGAGCTTTTATCTAGAGAACGTACAAGTTTTCAGTGTAGACAAAAGGAAAATTTAAAACAGTACTTTTGTATTATTACTCCAGCAAATATGAAGTGTCAAGGGAGCAAATATGGGATACCCCTCAGATAATGGAACTCTCCCCATGGATACCGTACACCATAAACCGTATTTGGAAAGAGACTCATGGTAGCCAGGATATTCGTATTCAGGGAAGGGTTAAACACCATTCCATCTACGACTTGGATGGCTAGACCATATCGTGGGGATGCCTGATTGGCGACCAGCCGCGCGAGGCTGCAAATAGCGCTTTGGACTGGCAATGGCCATCAAAGCACTCATCGCTGGCTAGCAACTTCTATGGTACACGAGTGGTGGGAGGCCATCATGAGTACCAGAGAAGCACCAAAAAGGACACTACGCACGTTAACTTTGCTAGTGGCCTGGGAGATCTAGGATGAAAAGAGCCGGAGGACTTTCCAACCCAAGAAGTTGCCGGCATCAAACCTGCTATCCAAGATAAAAGAGGAAGCAAAAACGTGGAGCCTTGCAGGTGCGAGAAGCCTCGCTGTCTGGTTGGCGTTGTAATTAGCCTTTTTGTCAGGGTCGTAGACTCGTAGTCCTGTTTGTGCTTTTGTAAAATTCCTTTTGTACAGTTTTCTCCTTCTCTATTTAATAAAATTGGTGGTCTCGTCGATTCGTTAAAAAAAAGTCATACCCCTCTAGTCCCATTAGTATATACGTATGTATATATACATATATATAAACTTTATATACACGCATATAAAGTTTATACGTATATATACAAATTGGGATTGTGCATGGCGTGCGACCCAAGTTATATTGCCTTTGCATTGGAATATGGATGGCTTAGAAATTTAAAAATACAAATATGCAACAACACATCAGATAAAAAAAATTTAAACCTTCTCTACAAATGACAAGTTCATAATCAAAATTAACAATGATTATTTCTATTATATAGAAAAGCTGCACCGATTGTTTCTTATTCTAACGGCCCACCATATGTGAATTTACCCTCAAAATTGATTGGAGATACAGAATAGATGGATGGGAAAGTCTGAGTGGCAGGTAGATCTTGTGGAATCTTGGATGTTTGGCCATCTTGATCAATAAGTTGCACGTTGCTGAATGATGCAGCTTTTGGATTATTTGGAAGATACCCACTTCCCATTGGAGCCAAATGGGTCGTTCGAGCCACCGCATAACCAGCGACCTTCATGTAATTAGCTTTGTTACGTAGGGTGGTGAATAAGGATGCAGGAAAACGCCCAATTAGGTATGGTTCTGAGTCCCATCCGCAGTGTAGTAACCAATCTCCGGCACCATCCTAGATTTGTTCAAAATCAGAAGAGGAGATTAGAGGAGTACATGTCTTACAATTTTGAACATACTTACTATTTTAGCTCTTAAAAAACATAATCTTGTATTACCTTGAAAATTTTGAAGATGATAATATGTTTTATTCCTCCAGGCTCTGAGACTGTATCAATGGCAACTCCTGGAACTATACTTATACCTGCTTCAGGTACATAACCAGGGCAGTCTAAATTGTAGCAGCCTGTCTTCCGATATCCATCAATCTACAATATAACTGTAGATTATTTAAAATTAAACATACTAGGGTAATGCAGTCACTAAAGCATACAATTAAGGTGTCTTACCGTCCAGCGGACAAAGAAATGAGCGTGTGCATCACCATTTAACCTTGGATAAACCTTTAAAATTAAAAGACCATGCATAATAGTTGATACACATGCAGTTCAAGCATAGTTTTTTTTTTCTCAGCAAAGAAAGAATGTTTTTAGACTTATAGTGTTAAACAACAAATGCATGAAAAATGTAAGAGGGAGACAACAATTACATGCCATCCGATAACAAGTGCATTGGTACTGGATTGATCATCTCCCTTGTTGGCAATTGAAACCAAAATTCCACTATTTTGCTCTCCATCTAAGGAAAGACCATATACATCAGTAGTTACTTCTATTCCGTAATAGTATTGTGAGTTCATCTCGTATCCTGCATTCTGGAAAGAAAATGGAAAGAAATGTAAATCCACGCTAAACCTTGTTTTGGTAATTGTAGCTTCATTTTCTAAATTAGTTATGAATTTATGATATATTCATGCAATTCTTACAGCTAATGAAAGAAATATGTAAATAAATGCATTGAACTCACAAAGACATAATAGGCTCCTTCATCGGGTTGCTGAGTTTTGGTAGATTTGTTCACGATCGCAGCGGACGACGGATCCACATGAAGTAAAGGTAAACCATTGTCCTTCAAATAATTAACCTGAGAATTTATTTTTAGATAATGAATTAACCTGAGAATATGTCACCGGTACTTGTACCCTAATGTCTGCGCACTACATAGCCGGAAGTCAGGTGAGCCCATGAAATTGTATGTTATTGAGTGCTATATATTAAGTATATGCGGTGTTTTAGTTGAGATAAAAAAATCTTCACAAGAATCACCTATTCCCCTACAAATCCCACCCTCAATCTTCTTTATAGAGCCTTCACACACACACACTTCCAGTGCTAGGTGGGGTATCTAAAAAGCACTCAATTTTATCTAAAAAGCACTCAATAACATACAATTTCATGGGCTCACCTGACTTCCGGCTATGTAGTGCGCAGACATTAGGGTGCACAATAGCGTAATGAAGAGACTAACTTCACCCATGTCGATGATTGGAACTTGGAAGCAATATACAACACAATGTTGGATTGGTGCAATGGAAAAGACCCTTTTATAGAGCAAAAGTTGACATATGTTTCCAGCGTCTACATTAAATTCTCAGTCAAAAGATTCTGTTTTAGGAGAAATTAATGTTCATCCAGCAATAATTTCAATGTACAAATGATTTTTGATATCTGCATTAATTCCAGCCATAATTTTATTAGAAAAAAATGTTTGCATTAGTTCTCACAGTGGCTAACATTAATGTCTGAATCACATGGAACTCACAACAGACAGGGTAACCATTCGATCTGGATAGAAGGCCGAGATAATCATGTGACTGTAAGATAAAAGGTGTTTTTGATTATTATTCTGTGATGAACAATTTGCACGGAGATTATTGGTTTTGTTATTTAGAATTTATTTACGAAGTGGTTTTGGAGATGATTGGATTTCACAGGTGATCTACAGGTGCCGCTGTTTGTTTGAACCGGTCAGACCGGGCTGTGTATGCCGGTCAGACCGGCCAGCCCGCGGTCTGACCAGCCGACTCTGTGTCGGTTTCGGTTTCGGGTTGTTTGTTTCGATATCCATGATTGTTTCATGATTATGGCTTCTAGATGGATTCTATACGTATGTAATACTGTTGTTTGCTAACAATGAGTCAAGTTGGAGATAGCTTGGTCTCAGAATATGGTTTCTTTGTTTATTTCATGTGTAGGTGACTCGATGCCTCGGGAGAGTATTTGCGGTGATGGACCGGGAGTCGGCTTAGGGCTAAGACGACGTCCGTTGTCGGTGACATGGGGCCGGGGGTATCGTGACTAGAGGCTTGGGTAGCCGCGGTCACCCACGTGGCCTGACCCCCTCGGGGGGGGGGGGGGGTCGGGCCCGAGGGTGACGTGGCCACTCCTCCCTCTGTCTCCCCGAGGGGTCGGGCCGCTCCCGTTTCGGCCCCAAGGGCTGGGGCGCCCCGACCCCCTGTGGTTTTGGCGCCACGTGTGTGGGTTAGGTGAGCACAGCGGGGCTCACCTAACCGCATTTATAACAGGTTGGACGAGCGCGCCACGCCACATTTAATGCGGCGCAGCGCACGCTTACCCGGTCCGTGACCGGTCGCGGTGTGTGACCGGTCACAGACCGGTCAGATCGCGGGTTGGGTGGCAACAGGCGGCCTGTCACACGCCTCGCCCCGTCCCGTCAGAATGATGAGAGCTTCCCGGCTCTCGTCCCTAGCCGGAGCCGGCGTGCTAACTCCTGGAGTTGGTACGTCAGTCCCGGTCAGATCCATTCCAGGCTTCAGCGCGAGCATGGCAAGGAAGTCGCTGGCCATTGAATGAAGGTTAAAATGGGCGTCCACCGGGAAAGCTGGCGAGCGGGGCAGGAGGCGTGTGCTCTGCTTGTCAGAGGTCACTTCCGGCTGTAGACTAGCCCTCATTGTAAAAAGCATGTTTCCTTTCTTAGGCAGCTAGAGGCCCCTGTGGTGACCCCTGACCAGATAAAAAGGAGGCCCAGGCCTAGGAGGAGAGGGGGACTCTGGCGGAGGGGTTCTGGAGCCTGAACTCTCTCTCGCTTTCGAGCTCTCTGTATTCCTTCACGCACAGATCCACCAGAACACAGGAATAGGGTGTTACGCTTCTCAGCGGCCCGAACCTGTCTACGTCGCCCGTGTCTTGTGCACTTCCTCTCTCGCTGACGTTCCTCAGATCGAGGGCGAAGAACCTCACTTAGCGCCCCCGGCCGAACCGGCAAAGGGGGGCCTGCGCGGTCTCCCGGTGAGGAGCCCCACGCTCTGTCATCCGTGGTGGTCAGAGATCATGCGGGATACTTAGGCTAGAGTTGACGCACGTGGTTGATGGAGATTCCATATGGCATACGATGGAGGTATTGTGTGCGTATGGGATGCGGAGTTGAATTTGGAAGGAGTCCAAATTTGGTATGATTGGTTATGTAAAGTTTGTTTCTTGTTCTAGAGGGTTTCCTAAGGTGTTTAGGACTTCTAGTATGAGTTTGGTTCGTGGCTTTAGACTGCCTATCTCGGGTATAAATAGAGGGGGAGTGTGAGGCTTCCCGGTATCGCTTTTGAGAGCAATTGAGTTGAGTTTTGAGTTAGGGTTTCGAGTTTAGTCGAAATTTTTGTAAGGAGTGATGTTTGTGCCCTTTGTAAACACAGAGAGAATCAATAAAGTCGTCATCCACTTTAAGAGTTCTTCAATTTGTGTTTCACCGGGTTTCGGCGGTCTAACCGGCGATATACCGGCGGTCAGACCGGCGGCATACGGGCGGTCAGACCGGCGGCGGCGATAGCAAGCGGCAGCTGATCTCGGCAGTCAGACCGATCGATCTACACCGGTCAGACCGACGGGGACAGGCGCTGTCAGACCGGCAGGACAACTTCGGTCAGACCGATCTTCGTCGAATTCGAGGGTAACTTTTATTTCCGCTAAAAGTTTTCGGTTTTTGGGTATACCAACCATTCACCCCTCCCTCTGGTTGGCTTAGTTGTTGTGATTCGATCCTACAGTGACACTCCTATGGGCAATTACCTTTTGCTAGTGTCTCGTTATTCTTGGGGAAGGACAGTGGCACATTCTCGTGAACTTGCATATGTTTTCAATTTGTCGATAGAACAAAGAAAAAGGTTGTATTTGAACTGATAAATTGTACTTCAACATTTGTAACATGTTGATAAATAATATATTCCTTAGTCTACCCTATAATTCAACAAATAATTTCACTCATCTTTCATTCTTTCATTCATCACTTAATGGTCGATATCATCTTCTGTGAAATCCAACGCATCAGAATCAACTACGTAGTACGCGGGGTCACTAGGCGGAAAATCGCACACGCGGGATCACCGCTGGGTTTCCTTTCCACTTTCCTTCGCCCTCCGCCAAATCGCCAGCGCTCGGTTTCCTTTCCCTTTTCCTTCGCCCTCCGGAGGGATCGCCAACCGCCGCCCTCGCACCCCCATGGCCCCATCCCGCGCCGCCCGCCGCCCTTTGCTCTCCGCCCTTCGCCAAACGCCGCCTTGACTTCGATCCCCCTAAACCCTGGCCACCGTTGCCCGCGTTCAGGTCGCCGTTCGGACCCCATCGCGCCGCGTCGCCACCCGGACCGCGGCCAGGAGATAGAGCAGCGGTAGACGTGCGGCGTCTTCCTCCTTAATCCGTCACCTCGGTTTCTTAGTTCCTCCCACCATGCCCCTCCCTTCCAACCCTATCTCCTTTAAGCGCCAAGTCGCCGCAGCAGCAACGAGGTTCTCAACGGGGCATGTTAAGGTGATGTCTCGTCTATTCCTCTGTTCCTAAATCCTCAAACAAATTAATATTTGTGTGCCAAATTTGACTTGGATGTTTTGTTGTTTAATGTAAATCTAAAAATGTTTAGCAGGCTCTGCATGAGATGAGAGGTCGACTCAACGATGGAGGCTGAAAATAAAGCTTGATGTTAAGAACATGGTAGTCAATTTGATGGAGTTATATTTACAAAGGATTATGCGGAAAAAGCATCCGTACTTCATTTCCTTCTGTGCAATGAAATAACCAATTGTTCTTTATTTCAGCCATTTATGTATGGGTTTAGTTTGCGTTGGAGCCAAGCTGCCAGATCGTGTGGTCCCTGGTAAATCTGGAGCTTTATTTTCATATCTATTTACTCTATGAACATTGTCAAATAACTAACTGAATTATATGTTTTGCAAGCATGCTAAGGAACCATTAACCTAGCTTATACGGCTGGAATGTAATTATATACATATAGCCAACTGAGTCATATGTGGTCAAGGAATAAAAAAGTAGGAGGAACTAGGAAGAGATGTCGGTGCTGTGTTGATAGTAAACATATGGGTTTGCCCACTTAGTCAATTCTTCTATTGTGTGATTTAAGTAAAGTTAAGTGAGGAAACCATGCTTAGACATCTCTCCCCGTATGGCTGTATGGCTAATTTGTTTTTAAAGGCAGTCTGACGGTAATTGTACATTTGTACTGTCATAAACTCATAATCTATGGCCTGCAGAGACGCGTTTGTGTCGCACACAAGCATCCCAGTGCAAATTAAGACAGCTTATCATTTCGATCGCTTTTAATTTGACACCTCCTTCTGAAACTTAATTAATTCTCATTAGCCAGCTATAGGATAGATATAGTAGGTCGACACAAAACGATGGAGTATAGTATAACTGCAATCAGCAGGTTGGATTCTATGATATTACTAAATGGTGAAATACTCAAAAGTATTGGGGCTGTATCCTGAAGGAAACCATCCTATTTCATCCAATAAATTAGTTTCGATATCTTACAAATCGATCTGGTTTTGTCGGTGTGTGTAAATGGTGCATGTGCACGTATAGCAAACATGAGTTGGATTACTAATCTTATATATTGTCAATTAGGTAAGTATAGGGACAAAAATCTGTTTACCAGTGGACTGGAAATCTGTTTGTCAAATTCACTTCAATTTTTCAGTGCAAAATTTATATTTTCAGACCTTTTCTTATTTTCTTTTCATTCCATATCAATGAAAGTAATTTATTTTTCTGTCCGGGGAAATTTGGTCTCTTAATCATTCAGCACTTATCTTCTTGCACCGATCTTATAATAAATCTTCTGCATCCGATGTAATCACATTTCTGTCAAGTCACATTCGATACTTATTAGATGCTAATAAACTAAATCTATATGTCAACAGTTACAGGTTGAATCAACTAATTTTCTGACAGTAGATGTGCTGACGTTCATATACTGCAGTTGAATTTAACTTCCAAATATTACTGCCAGCATCCGGCCTCCTCAACATCAGATCAGTGTTTCAGGTGTGTGTGTGTCTCATTTAAATTAGTCATCTTTTCCGGTTCGAAATTTTCGCTTTGCAATTGGTATATATGTTTACATCACACCCTGAAATTTCTCTAATTCAGAAGAACATGTAACCATAGTAAGTATAAAATTTGCAAGATATAGATCTTGATGGCCTGGTGCTGCTAGGTGTATGCATTAATTCTGTTGTGCTGGATGTAGTTTGCTTGCCTTTAAGATTATATGATTAGTTAGATGTATTTTGTTGGCCTACTGGATGTATGCATTCAGCTCCTGACTCATTCTTGATTTATTTGTGCATGCCGGATCCATGGAAGAATCGGCCACTAAAGTCTAAACTCTGAAATAAGGTTTTTGGTATATAGTGGCCTATATATTCTGCACGTCATAGATCTTTCATGTCACAGTATTTATGTAAAGGTTGATTAGTACACAAGTACACATACCTTTTTTGTTATCTTGTAGCATACAAAGTTTACACTTAATCACTACACAAAAGCACTTAAGTATAACTTTGTATTATCTTGCAAGTCACCACACTAAACCACTAAACCACTAAACCATCCTATCAAGAGAGAGAGAGATAGATAGATAGAGGTGGTGAGGTGCGGCACCGCTTGGATAGATGGAAGCTGTTTCTTTTCCTCCGCTAATCACACTTGGATACTCTGGTTTATGGCAATAATGAGCAACAGGGCAGCCACGACATCTGTAGGAGCATAAGAATAAAAAGCCCAGTTAATCATTGACGTTTGTATTCAACTTATCGATGTCTGGTAGTGCTAATCTCCAAAACAATCAAGATATTTTCCATAGCCATATGGATCATAAATATGCATCTGATCCTTTTGCAATCCCTGAAATTTCTCTTAAAGAATCAATTGCAAATCATGTATTGTAGTTTTCTGAGGTCCGTTGGTCCATTGCCAAATATTAGCAAATACGTTATTTAGTCAGAGTTATGGTATCCTTGAAGGTTCAATGATTGGATTTCCTTTATTCATGCATCAGGAATTTGTGTTGGATGATCAAATTGCAGAATTTTTATGCCCTAGATCTATATACTTTTTAATGAGAGAGTTGTATGGTCTATTAGGAGTGAAGATCAATTCAGTTTCTATCCTAGATTGAGCAGAGTTAACATGGTCCATTTTTTTATCATAAATTCATGTTTTCCTGTCTAATATTTTTTTTGCTACCAACTGCATATTCAAATCAACTGTAATTTGATTGCACCATGAACTGCATAGCATTAGCATGATCCAATCTAATCTATGGCCTCTAACATGGTTTAGTGCAATCTGTCATGACCTTCTGCTTGGTTTCATGTGCTTGACATGTTCTCCTCAGATTGAAGGAAAAAACGCATGTCCTCCCACTAGGAGTGGTTAGTGGTTCATTCTTGAGGTATATACTACTCATCCTCTTGCATATGTTAGCTTTATAGTTCACATGTTAGGGTGGAATGGGATCCTTTGCCTGTTCACTGGACGAACCACTTTGGAATGTTCATAATCACTGTTTCCTTTTTGTTTGAATCATATATACATCCCATTATATGTTTAATTGTCAAAACATAGATCATCTTTTGACTGTTTTGCATTAACAAATAATGCCATAATACCGTTAGCACGGGCATGTTACTATCATAATTCACCAACTAGCAGCATGATGTTTTGAACATCTTTAAGAAATGATTTATTTATAAATTGATTCTGTCCCTCTTATTTATAAATGATTTATTTCCCTGAGTATGTATTTTCTCGAAAAAAACCAAATGATTCATTTTCCTAAGTATAGTTTGGCCTTGATTTACTGTTTGCCCATTTCAGGTTATCTTTCTTTTTAGCTTAGCCCTGATAAGTCGCACAAAACTTTCTCTAAATTATTTTGGCCTCATTCCTAATGGCTACATAACCATCATTGAAAAAAGTGTATGTGATATGTGGATTTGGGTGATCTTACCATCCTGTTGGCTTTTTACATGGCATGAGCGATAGTGTGTAAATAAAATCATTTAGTACTCTGTAAGAATTTATGTTGCTTGTTCATCTCCGAATGGGCATGTATAACATTGTCATCTTACATAAATACTATGATTTTTAACATTCATTGTTTAGAAGAAGAAATTACAAATTCGAATCCTACTGACTACTGTCATTTGATTTTGTATAGCATACCAGAAGAAACACGTGCGGTACCACGTGATTATCACTGGCTTAACTCTTTATGTAATTTTTTGCTTGAACCTTAATCCCACCCCTTCTATGGGGAAATGTAATGCCTTTAAAATATCAAATGTCACTATGACGTTATATCTTTTTCAATTTGAGTTATCAATTGTCACCCCGTAGCGTTAGCACGGGCATATTACTAGTGTTTTTAATTGATAAGCATTATATTTCAATAACTATCATTCCGTGCCGCACAGGCGCATGGGCAATCAAAAGGCCTTATCCCCATGGCTACTTAGTGGTTACCATTGTTGGCGTAGTTTTTGGTCATGCCGCCTACATGATCGGTATCAACCTAAAGCTTTACGGTGATATAGAGTCACTAATCACCTCTAGAAGAAACCTCCTGGTCAATATGTGTTTAGAAGATTAAAACCGACTAGTGGAGCTAATTTAGACAAAAAGGATAAACACTCGTCTCATGAGCGGAATGGAAGGTTTTCATGACATATCTACAAAGAGGACCCGCACTCTTGCGGTGAAGACGGACGGCTTACAGCGTGACGACGAACATAGATGAAATTAGGCAAAAAGTAGATACGATATTGAAAGAATGATTCAATTAGCCAATTGTGTTGTAGTAAATTGTTTGTCTTAATGGAACCAACCATAGCTCTTATAAAGACAATTGGTCTTACCTTCCATAGGACTCTCCAAATCCTACTAGGTATATAAACCAATTAGTACTCGAAAAATCTCAGCTCGAGAAAGAATACCCTAGAACCGATAAATTAGAGTCGGGGTCGGACTCAAACGGTCTGACCGGCCAAATGCCGCTGGTCAGACCAGCCCCACACCATCGGTTTGACCAGCCCTATGGCAACGATCAGACGACATCGCACACCAAACCAATCCTTTCCAAATTCATTCATATTTTTCCTATTTTTACGTAGATGCTAAATTTGAGTATTAACAACCATGTCTCACTTTCTAGATTCCCATTGCTGTTTTCACCATATAAATACTTTTCTAGAATCATGTTTAACATAAGAAGTATACATGGTATACTATCTTTGTCCTTTTTTTTCTTCACCCATCGTATAAGCTAAAAAAAATCTTGTATCATCTTAATAATTTGCTATTAATATTATCTATTTCTATAATTTATCGATTTATCATCATTCTCAATATATCATTAGACTGTATATTTTTTAAAAACATACCCAAAATACTCTTATAGAAAACAAGATTATCAATTATTTTATCCCATTATTTTTTTAAAAAAGTGACTTTTAGCCTTCTTACACAACCATGAAGCATGCATATAAGTTTTAATTTTTTTTATTGTCATTTTTTTTAAAAAAAAGTTAATTTTTGCGTATAAGAGAATTTACTCACACAAAAGATAATGACACAATTTGTGTATGATATAAAAGATGTTTTAAATTAAAAAAAATAACGCAAAAATGTATTCTATATAGTATATAACGGATAAATGCAAAAAAATCTTGAAAAGTATGCACAAAATTTCATATTTTTTAAAGAGGCTATATAAAGAACATAGTTTTTAAACTTCTGATGGGACAAATCAACTGTTAACCTGATGTGTATTTTGGGAAAAAAAACTGACAAAATAACATATTGCAAAACAATTGATAACTCGGCGTTATATTATACAAGGGACAATACAAACAGCAAATTGTTGAATTGGACTAAATCAATGGCAAAAGTAGATTCTCTCATCCAGGAAGCCCCAAGACAATCAAGCGATGACAGTGGCGAATTCCCGTGAGCTTATAGTATTATCAATTAGTTGAGATAACGAAATTATATATTGATTGATAAATATTGTTCATCAATATTTGTAACATCTTGGGAAACCATATATGCTTTAGCTTTTCTTATTTGAATTGACAAACATTGTAGTTCAATAATTGTCACCCTTCGTTACAACCTAATCACGTAATGATTAAAAAAAACGACTGCAACTTCCATTTTCAAGTGGTAAGGGATACTGGGACAGTCACTTGGACAAAGTATAAGAGCTAAAAGTAGACATAGCAAATCTACATTTCTATCTTTGTTGTTAGCATCTATAATCTGCTTCTCCACTGGAGGAACTGTACGAGAAACCTGCCCTCTACAGTATTGCCGTGAACTTACAAAATCTCCTCCCACCACGCTGGCAATCTCAACCAGGACTGCACACATGCGTTCGGAAGAAGCCCGGCGGTCTGACAAAATGCTGTGTATTGGGGAAACCCATCTTGGTCGAAAGAATTCCACTCACGTGCTCCAAAAATGGCAAGAAACAAGCTTAATCTCTTTATCTGCTGAATTTTGTATGCATCAGTCTTCGTCATCAGCTAGCAGAGCGAATGAAAAGGGTCTGAATTTATAGCCATCCCCATGGTAGAACTTGTTCATAAACTCAACCCAGTGTAGACGAAGTGCATGAAGGAAGGCGCTCAATGATTCCATCCCCAGCAATATAAAGGCAGTAGCAAAAGAAAAAATTACAAGCCCCACTAACTTCACAACAAGATTGTCATACCTGTGAACAATATGATAAATACCCCAAGTAAGCAACTATCCACTTTTGAGTCTTTAGATACCATATATTCATGAGGTATCCATGATTAGACGAAAAGATGCATTCCAAGACACTCGTAAGAATAAAAAAACATTGCTATACAAATTAAAAGTGAAGTTGGTTGAAATCTGAAAGACCAAACCAATACTTACCCCCAAGCAAGTACCAGCAGTTTCTCATAGAAGACTGTTGATAGCTCAGAATGCGCCAAACTGAATATAAGACGAAAGAAAGACATGAAATTTATGAAGAGCACCTACAGATATGAAAGTATGCAATATAACAAAATAAAAAGCAAACCTTAATGCCCAAAGCCGAAGATACGATGCAGTATTGGAGACAGCGCCAAGTACAAATTCAATGGAATGTATCATTTGATGCACAAAAACTTCACTAAAGTTGAAGTCATCATGACGTGACCGGGCTGAGTCTGGTTCAGAATCTGGATCCATTTCTGAGGTCCCAAGAAAGCGATAGGTGTGACCTTGAAACCTCTGCAGCCAGGTATATTAGAAAAGCAATTCACTAGATAGCATAACCATGACCAAAAGTTTATTGCTTAATCAAGATCACCCAAAAGATTTTTAACCTCAGCTCCATTTTCATTAAAGAACAATTACAGATCTCAAGGAACCTTTTCCAACTTTTTGTGTATGGTGTATAATCTGAACATTGTTTTCTAGATCATTTGTCAGTACATACAACTATGCAACAAGAACTATTTCTTAAGCTGCTATGTAAAGCACCTCAACCAGAATCAGCCACTCAAATTCAACATCCATTCAGATGACTAGCATCGCAAAGCTCAAATCCTGGCGCTGCCTCATGGACAGAACCAAGGAGGAAGCATTCATTCCATCAACCAGCAACCAATCTAATTTTGTCCTGGACCGGTTGCTCTCTGGAAAGACGGGATCCAGTTTTGACTGTTGTTGCAGTTTCTAAAACCCTGATCATGGTAGATCCACCCACCAATTTTTTTTATGGGGTTCAAATACTCTACTACAAGATTTTGCATGGAGCCAAGGAAATAAAACACTCTAAGCCATGGATCACATGCTTAATTGTTGAACGCGGTATATCCCAGAGCATGTGCACAATATAGCCTCCTTTTTCTCTTTAAGGAGAACATCATAAGCATCTAGGAGGGGAAAATTATCTAGAAACCTAAGGTCTACCTTTTCAGAAAGTAGTTATGTATCACATTGCAATTTTATCAACCAGGCAACACATTTATATTACTACCTCCGTTTTTTAATAGATGACGCAGTTGACCTTTTGAGATATTGACCATTCTATTGCAAAAAAAAATAATTATTATCATTTATTTTGTTATGACTTGATTTATCACTAAAGGTTCTTTAAGCATGACTTATAATTTTGTATATTTGCACAAATTTTTTGATTAAGTCGAATGGTCAAATGTATGTCTAAAGTCAACAGCGTCATCTATTAAAAAACGGAAGGAGTATTAATCCAATATTTCTGCTAAATAAATAATGTTTTGGATTAGGCAGCTCATCTATTCACTCCAGTGGATATACTTCAATCAGGAGAAGACGCAACCCTACAACCCTAAGCCATAACTCTAACCATTAGCCCATTGCATAAAAAGACTAACAATGTGCACAAGTACTTGCAGAGTATGTAATGGCAGTGGTTTCTGTGGTTGTCAAGTTATGCATGCAGTACTAGAACATGAAAACAAATCAATGCCCATCTCAAAAGGGAAATGCTTTGTTGATCAACTATAAGAATTTTCATGAAAAATCTACCTCCTTGTGAAGTTTCTTCAAGATAAAAGGCTTTGGGAAGAGCATCCACGGAACAGCTACAATAGCCATAAGCAACAAAAGTATCTGAACGGAGAGTAATAATTGTTAGCTGGCAGGAAAATGAGGTAGTGAAGCCTTTTTCTTGTTAATAAAAGGTTATACAAACCTGAAGTTCCTTCTGGCCCCAAAATAGTTGATTTTCTCCAAGATTGCCAGAAGGATCAAGGAACATATATATCATCACATGATATAGGTCAGCTTGAGAGCCCGTGCACCACTTGATGAGAATTAGGAGTGCTAAGTAGCCAAAGAGGCTGTTCAGAAAGATCATCTGTGGTATGAATTGATACCTGAGGAACTCACACAGTTAAAAAGATCGCCCTTATCCTCCCCTTCAATTACTTGCAGCAAAAGAAGAAAACTATGCAAACAAAATACAGCACCTTATGTCAAGAGCATTTCCATGAAACTTTGCATCAAAATAACTCAATACAATCCCCAAGTTCATCTGGGTTACACCCATTAGTATAGACATCTTCATCTTCAAGGAGTTTAGAAAGGGTAGCTCAGATCGACTTCCACGCCAACTTGGGTCCACTCCAAAAGGATAGGGATCACGGACTTTAATGAGCCCAGCAGTATGTGCATCACTGAATCACACAGGTCAGAATATTAGATCTTCAGGGACAAATCTTTGATACAGCTGGTCATCTCTCATCTGACAATAAGCTGTATTGCAATGGTAGAGTGCTTCGTTGACCTACTTTACCCATCTGATGTAATATTAACTCAATATACTTCTTTAAATACCCGCCCTTCCAAAAATGTAAATGAAATGGGTATAATCTAGACTTCAAACAAGACACACTACGTTGCTTTTCAGGGTGAATCTATTTAAACAAGTGTATATGTAGATGCCCAGTTGATATGATTTTATTTAGTTTTACATAATTACATTTGAAGAAAATAGTTTTTAGAATTTTAAAATTTGAATATATGATATATATTTATTTAAAAACTGTTGCAACTCTTGGGCACCATGCAAGTTTGGTCCCCATCGTTTGGCTTATTTCCTAATAAGCCAAAACGGCTTATTAGGAAATAAAATGAATTTGTAGGTAAAAATTTTATAAATGTGTTCTTGGTGACTTAAAAGCCAATGTTGAAAAAGAAACTACGTTGAAAATATCTCAAAATCAATCTCAAAATTAAGCTTGAAAATTCAAAATTTGGCTTTTTCTTTGGCTGATTAGGCCATCCGAATAACAAGATTTGCTTATTACAGGAATAACACAATGACAGCACATAATGATCATGACCTGTACCAGATAATGTGTAGAAGGAAACCATTTCTTATGAGTCGTGATCAGAGCTATAGAAACATCACTTTAAGATAGAGAGGTCCAAGCATCAAAAATGTCCAGCTGCATGTGTGTTTAATTGCATGCTGCGTATAGCTTTTCTGGTTCGAAAGATAATCATGTATACGCTTTCAGTACATAAGTGTATTTTCTGTGTACATTACTACATTATACATACTCGGCAATAGGTATTCTCAGCAGTAAGGAAACAAAATGTTACTCCTTATCCTTACCCTAAAGGCCTAGAGATGTAGGTTGTACGAACTGATGAGCTAGCAAAGTACTATCTGTTGCAGCAGACTAGAAGCATAATGAACTAGGTTTGTAAAATTCAAATAATTTGCAGCAGACTAAAAGCAAATCCAAATAATTATTAGTACCTGCAGGTTTTCTCTCGACATTCATACGCTGATTTCCCGAATATATGAAATGGAACTGAGAAAAACTCATTGTATATAAGCCCACAGTATATTGAGAACAATGCCATCAGAAGGATAACATAACGCCCACCAAATGCCATCTCCATAAAGCTACCAAGCTTCTGAAGTAATGGAGCATGCTGAATGTTAGTGCAGGCAATATACAAAAATGGATAAATTGCAGAGTTATTAAAACTTAAAAGCAAACAACACCTTTCAAGTGTGAGCAGATCTAGAAGGAAATATTCACATCAACAAAATTTATAAACCAGATGTGGAGTCAAATCCAGGCAGTTTCTGGCAGCAACAAAACTATAAGCATTGGTTGGAGATATTACAGTGGATTCCTTCTACATTATAAGAGGGATTTTCTGGACACTCAAGTAAATATAACATAACTGAATGGTTTATCCACAAATTTTCAGGTGCATGGGTAAAGTCACTCCTCTGGCAAAGCTTCAACACATGTCCAAGAAGGATTGGACGAATTCCAGCAAGAAATATAACTATTTTTTACCAATAAATTGAGGACATAGCAAAATTGCTATGCTCAAAATTCATGTTCACTGTGTATTTTATTAGTATTAGATGTACTAGCTTAAGGGCTGTTCTGGACTACTTGATTTGATTTATCATGCCATTGAGCATTAATATAATGATAAAAACCACATAATGTGATTCCAAAAATTTGCAATTGTTTTGGATCCCTAGCACATGGTACATAGATATCCATGCACCATAAAATACCTCTGCCAGAAATTAGATTGATGTCCACAGAAAGGAATTGATAATAATCCTTGGGGTCATTAAAATTTCTCCATTATATATGGGAGTCTATTTGGAATTTACCCATAACAGTTTAATATTGTCTTACGAATGATAACAAAAAATTTTATCAACTCATTGATGCCAAGGTGGTAATCATGAAAGAATATGGTCTACTCCTTCACTTCACTTCACAACTCAGTTATTAAAAACCTACCAAGTGGTTAGCATAGCATAGAAGGGAGCAATAATAGGAAAAGAAAGCCAACACAGCGCACTGGGAATGGTAGAGATAACTAAATTATAACTGTGCAATTCAAACTAGCGGAAATAAGATCACGATCAATCAGCTACCTAAACTTCACACTTCCAGATTTGTATGTAATATTATACCAAAACAGGAATGAACGGTTCAAATTTAGCCAAAAAAAATACCTGAGAGGAAAGTTTCTTCTCACGAAGTATAAGAACACATGCTCCTAACAATAGACATATACCATGACCCCAATCTCCAAACATCACAGCAAAAAGAAATGGGAATGTGATGACAGAATAGACAGCTGGATTAGCTTCCTCATATCGAGCAATACTGCAAGAAGTTCATGATTAGCACACTACCAAAGTTGCATGACTAAAATATCATTAAAAAGTAGGGCCTAAGGATTAAAAATAGATCACATCATAAAGCAAGTATGTCAAAGTATCAGACAACCTTCCAATGTTTAATGAATCAATCTGTTTTTTATGGTCAGGTTGTCTAGTTACAAAGGCAAACAGAGCTAGCAAAATGTGCACACTAAAGAAGTCAACATTATTAATTACTACCTCTGTCCCTAAAACTAATATTTTAGCTCTTGCTCACCAACCTCAAAATCAAACCCAAAAGTGAAGAACTTCAAAATATAGCAGCAAAATATTTGTGTCGGATAGCTGAAACCTGGATCAAGTAGCTAGTAGTACACATGATTTAACAACTGCTTTGCTCAAGAAATTTAACATTTGAAAAACATATACCCACGAATACTCAGTTCATGAATCATAAAAACAGAAAGCATATGAATTTCATTTATTCAAGTTGACACTTGCAACAAAGTGCATACCCATATGCGTCAACTATCTCCTGGAAAGCGTTAGTGAACTTATCGGTTTGGAAATATGTAGGCGGTGAATCAATAGTGTCCATCTCATGAAATATTATTCCAACTTGTGAATTACTGTGAAGCGTTGCACGCTGCAAAACATCCTTGATCTGAAGTACAAAGTAGAGATAAGATATATATCCTTAAAAGTATCCTAAACAGAATGAGCACAATGAATAGACCTTCAAATGAATGTAATATTTCTGACCTGTGATTTAGCAAATATAGGACACCATCCTTCCCCAACAAGGCATTTCTTCGTGACATCAAAATTCAGCATGTTCAATGTATCATATACAGCTTTCTCTTTTTTCACCTAACACAAAAGGGGGTTATGGTTCAGAAATCCATGTATCAGAACAGACATAAATAAGAGATTTTAGGGATTACAACGCACAAATAGAAAATGAAAATTTTATATTACTTCATTACCATGATTGTCCACCTCCATAATTGTGAACCTACTGACTCTAGTGCTTTGTTTCTGTGCTGGATTCCAGCATCCAAAGTGGCTTCCAGATCAGCAAGGCGTCCAGATACCTAACACATTTTCATAAACCGTTACTACTACATAATATCTCAGCAGATAACATATTAACATTATGACACAAAATAACGAGAACAATAAGTCAGATAAGTATAACACTCAAGCTTCTTCCAATAAAATTCTAACAAGCACGGTCAAATCAAGCAGTGAATTTGTGTGCCAAATATGCAAATTAAAGTACCTCGCGAAAAATCTGTCTCTGCTTAACCATCTCCTCGGGAACAGGGTAGCAACTTGCTCCAAATGAACCGCAAATCTTTAATATTTTTGCTTTAGCCTGATCCCCAGAAAAGAAAACTACGAAAACAGTTTTCTCTACCTGGCAAAGTAAAATTGAATGTTGAAACTATTGAGAAACTTTAAGGCTTCAAGGTATTGGATGAAATTGTCACATGCAAGGTTGGATTTCAGTACTGCAATAAGCATTAATTTTGTTCATAAATCCAGCTTTCAAGGACAAAAAAACAATAAGCATATAATTGGAGACAAACAATAGATTTCATTTAACACGAGAATCACCAAGAGCAAACCATGACAATCAGACCTCTTCACCAGAAATGGGATCAGTAACAGGTTCCCCTGCAGGCGCCTGATTGAAAAACATATTCCCCCTTGTAGCTCGGAATAGCATCCTCTCAAAAGCCATTGCCTTGGACTTTAAAATAATCCCACTAACAAACTTCACTCCAGAATTCTCCGAAGCCCCTAGATGCACACCCTGTGAGCATTTTTTTTTTGTGTTACAGTTTTCAATCAAATAAGGTCAAGTGTTTAAGTACGAAAATTAAATATAAGACCTGTTCAAGTAAATAGGCATTTCCATCATCCATTTCCTTGTCATATATGTGTTCATCTAGCTCCCGCTCAGCTGGAGCAGCATGATTGTGAGAAGAAGCAAGAATACCACCTGCCTGCAAGAAGTTATTTGAGGAAAATATGGGAGGAAGCAAACAAAGGAGGAAGTTGAGCACAATCGATATTACTAGACTGGCACAGATAGCAGCTACAATAAAAACTTGTGATTGCTGAGCAGGGTTACTGTTCACAATTTAAACCAAATAAAGTGACTACTCATCAGTTACAAGCAGCATGCTCTTGTCAAATTCTATGTTTTTTATAAAGAAAGTTCCATATGCCTATCATCAAAAGGTGTCATGTACTGGTGCTGATTTTTTTAGTTCCATCTTAACAGTCAAAGAATAACTGGAAGAATTAATTCTATGTTTTCAAAGAATTGAGATACAACCTTTGACAAGACCATCTTGAATTCAAGAAGCTCATTGTATGTTTGTAGTAGTTTCTCACTATTTGTATTCATCTCAAGCAGATCATTCTCATGCTCGCGCAATTTTGCCTGAAAGGAAAAAAGGCAAGTCCTTAACAAATTATTCATTTTTTCCTTCAAAATAGCTATTAGCTTCAGAAATAACAGAATTGAACGGTAATAAAGACATGAGTAATGCACCTCTAGCTCCTCCAAATCTATATCTGGTTGCATTGCAGGTCGAACAGAGGACTTTACACCTGCCTTGTTGATCTGATCATTGAAAAATCTTAGTTTGCGTGACATTTCAGAGCATCGCTTTACCTGTAGGAGAATTGAACCATACTTAACAACATCAAACTACGTAAAAGTTATTCAGCAGAAAATTCTCTGCGTCAGGCGGGAAACACAGGTGTCAATGTGCATCTGTGCATGCACAGAAGTGACAGTTGACAGAAAAAATATCACAATTACAGCATCAATCTATTATATTCTGGTGGAACATAAATAAATAAAAGCAAGGAACCAGTTATATATATTATGAAATAATCTCTCCTTTTTTTTAATATATGACACCGTTTACTTTTTAAGATACATTTGACCATTCATTTTATTTAAAATATATATATATATTTATTATTGATTTTATTGTCTCTTGATTTATCGTCAAATGTTCTATAAGCATGACTTAAAAAAAATTACATTTGCATAAAAATTTTGAATAAGACGAATGGTCAAACGTGTGTCAAAAAGTTAACAGTGTCATATATTAAAAAAACAGAGGTAGTAACTTGATTGGATCACGATTCAAGGTATCGATGAATATAGTCTGACATAAGAAGTAAGTTCCTCCAAAATATTTCTCAACATGATAATCCCCGCTGCATGCTTCCTAAAGCTAAACAAGGTAACCGCCTGACTTGTCCATTCACTAGTCCCAAGTAAACAATGGTGGTACTCCCTCATCAAAATATAAGGCATACTGTTTTCTCTGAGTTCTATTAAAATATAGAGCTTGCATGCAAATTTATTGATGCTTTACCTTATTTTCCCCGATGTATACTTTGAATGCTCACTAATCATTTTCTCTATAATTCATTAATTCCCTAGGCATTTTAGGTAAACAAAAATGGCATGCTCATTTTCAGTTATGTTCTCTTGATTTTATAATCATCGTAATATTTCTGCACACACAAAATCCACCTTAAATTTTCAGGAGAGTATATGAGTACCACATGGACATGATATTCAAACAAATATCTTGGGTACGAGCAGGCCAAGTGAAGTAAAAAATAATGGGCGCCACAGAACAATAGTATCCAGGTAGAAATCAGCATAGTGGAATAAAACAAGGTTCATGCAAAATGATGTGATTCACAAAAAAAGATAGATCGAAGATAAAAGGTTGGAATACCTGATTGACAAATATACGCTGAAAAGGACTCTTATCCTCATTCAACTGCATATAAAGAGGAATAAAGTTAAAAAGAGAGATAAGCAATTGGGCCTTTTTTTTGCAAATCTCAATTAAACCATTATAGCAGGAAGCACAACCAATAAAAAAGAACAAGTTCAAACATAACTATGTAAGCATTCTCTAAGTTCTCTGCTAGGATGATGCCATGCTCACAAAGTTCTGTAGTACACAACTATAACGATGACGGTCAACATTTAGTCTCCCTCTCATGATTTTCTTTCATATTGTCCCAAGATTTCAGCGGCATCTATGGGATAAAGTGAACAGAGTACGCAACCCCGTTTTTGCAATCAAACTAAGAGTTCATAAGCTTTTTCTAAACATACAGGTACTGGTGTACTTTAAGACCCAACTCACAAAAATACGGTGTCTATTCCATTAACTGATTCATCAAATAAATCTTGCTGAATAGCAAGGCATGTAACTGTCCACGAATGATACCCCATAGCAAATAATATGTTTGGCATAAAATGGTACAAATTACAAGGCAAAGATTCATGCATAGACCGCAAAACAATGAGACCTGCTAGGATCAGCTAAGCACATAAATGTATTTAAACCATCACCGCTCCAACTCATGCTTAGAGCAAGTTTAATAGTATAGCTAACTATTGGCTATTAGCTCATACTAAACTAACATGTATAGACTCTATTTTTTGTGTTGCTAGCTCTTGCATGAGAGCCAACACTTCTCATTTCTCTCTCTCTCTCTCTCTCTCTCTCTCTTCCACATAAGCTTATAGTTAGCTTATAGCGCACTATTGTCCTTGCTCTTATCATAGGATAATCTCGCGCAATAGCACATTGTTTGATTCGCTCCCTAACCTAATGCATTTATATGAACACCGCATTCATTCCCTCTGATCTAAAACAACCCCGCCACCCACTATCCAATCAACGTAGCAGCCCAAACCAGCTCAGACGACAGAAACACGCGAGCCGTCGCGATCCAGTGACACCAGGCAAAAAAAACTAGTCCTCCGATCTGAGCACCGCCAAAAACCAGATCCAACATGAGCGGATAGCACGACGCGCATAAGCGAGCGCGGTAGAGATCACGATTCACGAGGCTAGATCACACAGATCCGGGAGGGAGAGAGGGGCCTCTGATGCGGGCAGCGACTGGCGCCGAGAGCGAGAGATAGAGAGAGAGAGACTCACGTCCTTGAACTGGAGGAGCCCGAGCTCGCCGAGGTAGGTGACGGCGAGGCGCGCGCTCTCGGCGGGGATGATGAGCTGCACGAAGCACATCTTCTCGGACCGCAGGCGGTCCATCGGCGGCAGCCGGTCGAACACCCCCATCTCCCCGGAGCAGCCGCCGCCTCCGCCTCCGGAAGCTTCCAGGAGGTTCGCGAAGGCCCCGCGCGCGCGAGGAGGGAGAGGGAGCCCGGTGGCTTGTCTCAGATCTGAGGCCGCGGGTTCGGTCTCCGAACAATTCTATTTTTCTCCCTTCTCTGAAATTCTATAGCGCTAGTGCGCAACTGCCAATACCGCACGGAAGAGAGAGGAGAGGAGGCGCGCGGGGGGGGGGAGGGAAGCGGCTCGGAAGGCGGCCGGTGGCAGTGGCTGGCATGTGGGCCCATGCCTCCCTGGCCCTGGGTGGTGGGCGCGGATCGGTCGCAGTTTCGGTCGCCTGCAACTCCAGTCCCTCTGGGCGCCTCGCGTTTCGAGGTTTTCACGCGGGTGTAGTGGTGTACCGAGGCCACCGACCCTGTCGGTTCCGCGTGGCCGTGTTGGTTGGGTTGGGTCCTTAATTTGGGGTCCCTCCAGAGTCCAGCCTGAGTGCCTGACGAGTGTGACCGGTGGCAGTGGCAGTGGCAGTGGTGGGCTGGTGGCTTGATCGACGTGGGCTTCCCGTCACCTCATGGCCAGAATATACGGGCCGTATCAGATTTCAGATGGAATAAGTTCAATTCGTGACTCTTAAAAGTAAGTGATCAAAATCTAATCCATGGTCCTAAACCACAAAACCGGATATATTTACCCCAAACTCTTAAAACCGGTGCAATTTGACTTCCTAGGTGGTTTTAGAGAACGGTTTCGCTGACGTGGCACATACGTGACAGTATTAACTCGGTCTTCTTTCCACGCGGTGTTGACGTGACGCTTAGGTAGCATTAGAAATAAAAAATATGTATGGGATCCATTAGTCATTCACACACAAAATAAAAAATTGTGGGGCCCACTGACATGTGGGCCCCACATGTCATCCCCTCTCTCTCCCTTTCTTCTTCCTCCCTTCTCTCTTTCTCTCTTTCTCTTCTCTCCCCTTCGGCTGGCCACGGGGAGCACGAGCGGCTGGAGCTGGAGCGGCGGCGGGCGGGGCCAGAGCAGCGGCGGCGGTAGCCTCTCCATCGGCCTCGCCAAGTGGAGAGAGGAGATGAGAGGAGAGCAGGTGAGGGAGGAACGAAGGTGGTGGGTTACACGAGAGGCGGCGGTGGCGCTTGAGGGCCGGAAGGGAGAGGGGAGAAGCGGAGCCGCTGAGCTCGTGTTGTCGCCGCCGGTGCCTCCTCCCGCACTCGCGCTCGCCCGCACGTCGCCGGAGCCGTTGCTCGACCCGCTCGATGCCTCCGCCGTCGACGTCTCGCGCCCGCTGCCGCCGTCGACGTCCCGCGCGATGCGAGGATTGATGCGGGGAGGTGGTGGAGGACGGCGACGAGGAGCTCTAATCCCAGGGATGCGGATGGATCCGAAACCGTAGCCGGCTCGTAGACCACCGTCCCCCCGCTCGATCTCGTTGGCGTCGGCGCTGCCGTCCTCTCTCGCGTCAGCTCTAGTCCGCCGCCGCTTCAGCTCTCGCCGACCGCCACCAATCCGGCCCACGCCTCCCTCCCCCGCTGCCAGCTCCAGCCTATCACCGTCGCCGCTCCAGCTAGCTCCCGCTGGCCGCGTCGCTTCAGACCCCGCCCACCGCCGCTCGCTCCCCGCAGACGGCCGAAGTGGAGAGGGAGAACAGAAAGAGTGAAGGGAGGAGGGGAGGTCCGGGAGGAAGAAGAAAGGGAAGAGATGACAGGTGGGGCCCACATGTCAGTGGGCCCCACAATCTTGTGTGTGTGAATGACAAGGAAAAAGTACGAAATACCCCCCTGAACTATCGCGGCCGTCCGAATTACCCCCTGAACCACAAAACTGGACATTCTTCACCCCCAACTACGTAAACCGGAAGAATTACCCCCCTCGACCCAATCCGCGGTGGTTTTGGTCTACGTGGCATACACATGGCAGTCCAGTCAGCATTTTAGTTTTTTTAATGGTGGGACCCACATGTCAGACTCCACTTTCTCTCTTCCTCTATCTCTCTCTTTCTCTCTCTCTCTCTCTTCATCGGTCAGCGGCAGCGCCGCGCACGCCGGCGGCCGGCATGCATGGCGCGGCGCGGGGAAGGGCGATGGGCAGCAACGCGGGGGCAGGCTGGCGGTCGATGCGCACGCGGTGCGCGGGGAGGTGGAGGGGATGGGGGAGAGACGGGCGCCGGCGGCCATGGCGGAGAGGCGAGCCATGGCCGGAAGCGTCGGGGGGAGGACGGGGGATGGCGGACAAAGGCGCGCGTCGGGAGCTGGAGCGGCGTCGGGATGAGGACGGGGAGGAGCAAGAGAGGCGGAAGAGGGAGACAGCGGCGGCGGAGGAGGAGGCCGTTCCCGCGACCGCCGCTCGCCATTTCCTCCGCGCCCACCTTCTGTCCCGGCGGCCTCCCGCCTCAGCGTCACGCCCGTCACAGCCTACCGGTTGCCTGCTGCACAGAGGGGCGGGCGGCAAACGGTGGACGACGCCGCGTGGGAGCGGGCGGTGGGCGTCGGACGGCGATGCGCGGGGGCGGGCGGTCCCGCGCCTTGAGACGCTCAACCAGGACGTCCACCACGTCCCCGATGCTAACCACCTGCTGGTGCCTAGCGGCGGTGCCGCCATTGTTGGCATGGTGGAGCAGCTGCGTGGGCGACGCGAACGCCGCCATCACCGGGGAGGCGGCGACTGGGAACGGCGTGGCGCTCGCTGATGGCGACGGCGAGGCAGCGGCGCAGGAAGAGCGTGGCGAGCAGGTGGTGTTAAGTTTGGCATGCATTTCTTTTTTGTGAGATTTGGTTATTTTCTCGATCGTGGTCTGATACTAACACTAACAAATTCCTTTCCTTTTGTTAGTTCCCCGTGAAGATGACGACGCTCTTGCACCTGGAGAAGAAGACCGGGGAGCAGCAAACGTAGGTGGTCTCTACGAGCTGTACGCGGCGTTGCCGCCATGCGGAGAAGGAGGAGGGGGCTGGAGTGGGCCTTCTTCTTCATATGCTGTAGCTGGATGAGCGGTATTGGTCGATGCAGTCCTCCGAGTCGTAGGCGAGCTCGCGGAGCTGCTTCATCCACTCCAGGACGAAGTGGTCCACGGTGCCGTCGTCGGCCTCGGATTGCATGCGGTGGAGGGTGTTCATGGTGGCCAGCTCAGCGACCTCGCTACCGACGCCATTGAGCTGCCGGTATTCCTCGGTCAGCAACTGACCAACGTTGCTTACGAGGTTCTAAGCTGCGTTCTCCATGCTTCGATCTCTCTAGCTTGGTTGGCTGGAAGCTAGTTTGGCGACCGTGGCGGAGATGTGGACGGTGGCCGGAGGCGGCGGCGAGGCGGGGCCGTGGCAGAGAGGCAGGCGGCGAGGCACGCCAACCCAGCTCCGGCCACGGGAGCCGCCGTCCGCGCCGACTACCACCGGAGCCGACCGAGCTCGTCGACCCGCCGCCGCCTCCCACCACCCGCCCCCGCGCGGCGCCGTGCGCGCCGACCGCCCTGAGCCCTACAGCGCGAGAGATAGGGGGAGAGAAACATGAGATAGATAAAGTATATATATGACAGGTGGGCCCCACAATAAAATGCTGACTGGATTGCCACGTGTACGCCACGTAGACCAAAACCACCGCGGATTGGGTTGAGGGGGGTAATTTGTCCGGTTTGCATAGTTGGGGGTGAAGAATATCTGGTTTTGTAGTTTAGGGGGTAATTCGGACGACCGCGATAGTTCAGGGGGGTAATTCGTACTTTTTCCGAATGACAAATGGGTCCCACATATATGTTTTTAATTGAAATGCCACCTCAGCGCCACACCAGCACACAAACTAGGTCAACACCACCACAACAGCGCCACGTCAGCGAAACCGCCCTCCAAAACCACCAAGGGAGTCAAATTGCATCGGTTTCAATAGTTTGGGGGGAGTGAAGATATCCGGTTTTACACTTTAAGGTCATGGATTAGATTCGTGTCACTTTGAGGGTCATGAAGTGAACTTATTCTATTTCAGATCCATTTGCAACTGGGTGTCAGCCCAACTTGTGCATCGTGGAAGGGCCGAACTGCAATGAACAAGGTATTCCTTTTTTTAATAAGTCTATTTTATGTCCCTCGTAGGCTCATTATTGAATCACATCTCTAAGTACAAAACCGGGTATAACGTCTACACCAACTTTTAAAACCGGAGCAAATAGACTAGTTCGATGGTTCAGGATTAGGTTTGGCTAATATGACACGTTAAACACGGTCAGACTTCCTGAGTCAGAATGGGCTATGTATGGTTCTACATCATGACGACTTTCGCGCTCCACCTAGCGAAGTCGATAGCAAAGGGGAATAAGAACCTCGTCTTCTAGTGAACGTCGTCATGCTGCATACATAGTCCATGTTGGCTCAGCAAATTTAACCATGGTTAACCCGTCACTTTGGTAAAAACCGATTCCCAAACAATAATCGAAGTTTTATACTTGCACCTGTTTTAAAAGTTGAGGTAGATCAAAGAGAAAAGATGAGGAAAGCAAAATATACTTGTTCTCTCTCTCTCTCTTGTCGAAGTCCCTCTTACAGCTTGACTACGAGTTTCACAAGGGGCTCAGTAGCAAAGCTCCGATCAGTCCAAGTCTGCGCATTTTTAAAGACCTATTTGCTCTTTGATTACTACTCGTATGGGTTGATTAAGTTCATGGTAATGGTCACGTTTCAAAAAAAAAAAAACCATGGTGAGTTCAGGCTTTACAGGCCCAGCATTTCATTTGTTTCCGCGAGGCCGATTTCGAGTTTTGACTTTTAACCACAAAATACATTATGCATGTTCTTTAATTTCGCGTCCATAAACTGGAAACGTATCGTGGTCAAGTGGGAAAGCTCAGGATTATTGGATGCGATGGAACCGTCAGGAGTTGGCCTATCCAGTTCAGCGACCGTGATCATCGGCCCACGAAAAGGACGCGCCATTTAATTTGCTTCGACCGACTGCAGTTAGAGGCACAGTTCTGTCGAGAGCCATTAGCAACGGAAAAGATGAACTTTCGATAAGCAAAAGAGACAATGAGGTTGAGTGCGATGCGACGCTGCTGCTACAGCCATACAGGCACAGCAGAGCACGCAGCTTAGCTCGACCGAGTGATAATGATGCAACAGCGAAGCCGAAGCTCCCTGACGTCGACGCGGTACGTGATAAAGCCGAATAAATACGCCATATCTCCCTCTGGTAGTTACGAGCGATCGCGGCACGAGCGGGTGTGCGTGCGTGCGTGTACGTACATTGAATGCATGCGCGAGAGCGGCCGGTGGACGGCGACGGAGCTAGTACTACGAGCTGGCCGTAGTTGTCAACGGAGCAGTGGATACAACGGCAAGCAAGCGAGAGCCGAGAACCAACGCAAGTACGAATAATCACGGATTCACGGTACCTGCCCCCCGCGCGACTGGCCGCCTGGATCTTCTCCTGCAAATCTGCTTGAGAAAACCGTGAATTGTTCTGCGTGGCCGCTGTAATCTCTCGCATCCGCATCTGTCAAAACGTGACCCCGCGCCGTGTGCCACAGTGGTAGATTTCGCTTCAGACGATCAGACGAGACGACGGGGTTTCACATGCGGCGCGCACGCCGGGCGCCCGGCACGCGGCTTCACCGCCCCCCCCCCCCCACCCCAACCCACCCACACACACGCACACGGCACACACGCACACACCTCGCGCGCAGCGCACGCGGCGTGGCATGTCGCGGGCGCGAGATTAGGACCAAAGCAACGGCGGCTACGCGGGGGCGCCCGGGGGGGGGGGGGGGCATCGCGGCCATGGAGCTCAAAGGTAAAAAAAACCTCCTGCTACATGTCGCCCGCGCGTGTGACCGGTTTCGTACCCCCAACACTGGGGGCTCCTCCGTATGCACGGGGCTACCTTTACAAAGGCACAGACCTGCCAGTCTCGCGGTAAAATGTTACAAACAGGATTCACCGCTTTGCTAGATTGCCTCGTGATTTTAGTTTTCAGCTTGGCACGTAGTACTAGCAAAGCTGTGCTAGTGCAGTAGTATTTGCAGAAGCCATCCAAAAGCAAGGAAGCGCTAGGAGCACAGCACGCTTTGTTCTGCAGAAGCTTTTTACCTTTGATCGAGCTAAACATGATGGTACTCTGCGTGCAAGTGCTGCTGCAATACGTACGTTTCTACTTTCTACTACTACTTTCTTTTTTTTTTCAGTCGTACTAAAAACAGAGCAGCGTACTCAAATTGCCAACGAGGATCGATCATTATCCGAGATCAACAACCTTGAGCGCGTGGCGTCGAGCGCGACGGCAGCATCAGTATCAGAGAACTGTTCAAAACCTCACCAAAATATCGTAGTAAACAAAACCGAGCACTGATTGTGCAGATTTTGTTCGCATTGATTTCGTCCACGGGAGGCCAAAACACCGAAATGATTGTTCTTCCTCTTGCGTTTCTGCTCGCTGCAGGCCTTTTTTCCTCAATTCTGAAATCCTCAAGATCTGTCACACCTTCCCGCCTTATTTATAAAGAGCAGGACATCCTACTTGCCTAGAACAAAGCTCTGCTTCACCTTGGGGCAATGGCTTCTCAAGGCATGGTATATTGATAGGAAGGCCAATCCAGGCAGAGAAGAGGAGAGAAGAAAGGCATCTCCCAGCCCATTGTGGGTTCTAGTTGAGGTGAGGCTTCTTCATTCAGTTTCGTTTGCTCCTTTTTCTGAACATCCTACATCGTAGGGGTGGTTACATCAATGCATTATGCATGGCTCCAATCAGCCAAAAATGTTTTGCCGCCTCTTTACTGGGATTGGTTGCTGCCACTTCTCATGCATTTCTGATTTCCTCATTGAAGTAATCTCCAATTTTGCCCTTTTCTCTCGCATATGTTCTGATGCCCAAGCCTAGCACCTACCTGCCTTGTTTAGCTAACAAGCTTGCTTCTTTATCCAGATACAAGCTGTAAAGCTCTGTTTGAGTTTTGTCTCATCGCCATCAGTCTTATGAAGACCAGCTCACATGCATACGTGGCTATCTAAATTAGTTATTCCGGAGTTTAAACCAGTGATAAAGCAAGTGTCTTTTTGTTTTTGCTAATGAAAGGTGTGTTTATTTGGGTTTGCAGCTGTCATTTTGGCTAGGTCCTGCAACTACTTTTGCACCATCGCCATGCATGATTCAGCTGAGTATTAGGGTGTGGACGCCATTGCTGCTTTTTTTGTGGGGAGTTGAGTAAGGCGAAAGAGAGAGCAAACAAAAGGGGAAGCCTTGGGGTGGTGGATTCTTGCTTGCTTCAGGCCTACCTTTCTGCAGCCTTAAGTTTGGTGGTTGTAGTGGTGTGTGTATAATGTGTTATCTTCCAAGGGACCATGTAGGCCTCTAGTAGTGATCATGAGAGCCATCACCGCCCGTGGCAAAGCTTAAAGAATCGGATTGCTCACCCCCCTTCTTCTCTGTCTCACCATGACCATGTGTCATCTCCCAGTTTAAGGTTGGCCATAAGTATTAAAAGCCAGACTGCTTGTCCTTGTGGTTGGCTAAGTGGTTGGAGTACTAGTCAGTGCCAGATTAGTCGGGCAAGCAAGCAGGAAATGATGCTGCCTCGCATTGCCATTATCTAGCTGCGTTGTTCATGTGAAGATATACAGTGTGTTGTTCATCTTGTAGCTAGGTCTCTGTGCCTCTCATTCATCTCTAAATTTGTTGATGAAAGAGAGGGAGCTGACCACTCATATTTTCTTTCCATTTTTTGTCTCGTTGCAGCTTTCTTGTAGGAGACCTTGGTGTTTGCCGTGGCTCTGAATTCTGAAGTAAAGATATAGCCATGCAGGCAGCCAAGATAAGGTTTGTTTCCATTCATTTCATCCCCTTCCATGCTACATTCCATGTGCCATTTGGTGATTGCTGCAAACATGATTTTTTTAAATCTCCCTATGATCACGCTATGTGATGTTAGATTCCCTTCTCCATCTTCAGCCGTTGAATCAGGTTTAATTAGTCAATGTGCATGCATCGGTTTTGTTAATGCAAATGTTCTCTGATCCGGTCTTCAGTTGGGCTACCAGCCCATGTTACAAGTCCTATCTTCTACGAGCAATACGAGCACCGCAGAAAAGTTCAGAGGCAAGAAGCTCCTCACATGGAAGTAGTTCATTACTGCTCACTCTCTCTTGCTCAGGGGAGTTCAAACAGAGACTCACTGGTCACTACAGTTGCAGATATGGCACCGATCCGTGATGATATGGGTAATTTGTGATTGGGCTGCTGTAAACTACAATTTCCTCCTTATCACGTCCTGCCTGTCACCCGTTTAAAATTTGAGAAATTTTTACTACTGGAGCCAAAGAAGAGAACAAGTTTTCAAATCAGGGGCGCATGTGACCGTGACTGCGCGCAGATAGCTCCATTCGCGTTGCACAATGCGTGTCTTGTTCTTGAGCTCGGCGCCAAGGGGGGGCGGTGGTCCACTTGTCGCTAACCACATCTGTAAAGCTCCGCCCTTTTGATCCCGTGCTTGCACACCGGGAGATTAACTTAATGCTGCCGCTGCTCCTTTTTCTTGGTTCCTGCCTCTCCCTCTCTCCGCTCGGTTTGCTCCCCTCCTCCACTTCTTGTCGGCCTCTCTGCTCCTTTCGGCCTCGGATTCTCTCTGTGTTTTTCTACCCCCATTGCATCCGGTTTAAGCTGAAATCTTGAGCCATTTTGGGATTCATTCAGAAGGAATCCACAGTTTGGATTGGTTCACTACTCGATTTGGTTGAAGTTTCTTTCTTTTGCGGTCGTTTTAGCATGAGGAGGGGAACTGAAATCTCCTGCTTATTGTGACAATGCTATCTCTGAACAAAATGCATTTTCTCAAGTTATATTCCAGCAGTACGAGCGGGAGGTAACGCGCTTCAGTTGTGAACCCTGCATGCCTTGTGATTCTTGCGGTTTTTTTTTTCTGAATCTTACTTGATGTGTTCTTTTCTGGCATGAAGGAATGGCTCCTTGGAACACCCTACCCGGACGTCTTCCCAGGGAGCTACCAAGACGAGCCGGACGGCGAGGCCGGCCGGGCCGGACTCCGCCGCCGACAGGCCGTCGACGAAGTCGCCGCCCGCCGGGAGGAGCCCCAAGGTGGAGCGCCGCATGACGATGAGCGCGGAGAGAGAGGTATCTGATCTGAACGCAAAGCCTCTACTGTTCAGTACACTCTTGTTGAGCAGTTCCATTTCGAAGTAGAGTTCTCTTCAGTAGTACTAGTACTGTGGTTTGGAACAAGTACAACTGCAAATGGCATGTGGATGGGAAATTTGTCAGATTCCAATCCGTAGTTCGTTGGAGTACAAGTGCTTCAACGATCCGCTGGCTGTTCATAAATGCCAGAGATTTTTTATTTTCGTTTTTGTCCCTGATAGGTAAGTGTTCTATGTGGACACTTTGGACACATTCTCAATTAGTAGTTGTTGGCTGGCTCTTGGTCAGTCTCTCTCTTGATGGAGCACACTGTCAATTACACCGAAGCAGACAGAAGGTGTTCCATAGCTTAATTAAGTGGTCCGGGATATTGAATGATTAGGGAATTTAGGCTATATATTGAAGCCCCTGTCAGAATTAGGAATCAGGTGGATTTGAGATAGCTAACAATTTTCGCAGAAACCGTGTACTGTATGTGGGAGCAACCAGTGAGTGAGTGCAGGTTAGGTAGAATTAGCAAACGCTGAGGAAATTGTTGATTTGGACAGGGAAACTGTAATTGGCACCACCAATTGTTTTTTGTATTGATTATGTTATTGACTGATACCAAAAGATTGACAAGCTGATTTAGCACGTTTTTATGAGCGCAGATATCAATTCTGTTTGTTGCACTGTTCTTTTCTTCCAGTAGTCACATAATCCTTGCAGAAAGAAATATCCACTGGACTGGATAGCTCGATCACTGCAAATATTTTACTACTAGCATTTTAGCAAATGGTAGTAAATAGGAATGTTTGGAAGGTGGAATTTTAAGCTTCAAAATTTCCAGTGATGCATCAGAATGTTCGCCAAAACCATCTTGTCGTGTACTTAAAATTCGAGCTACTAATATCGTTAATCATGCCGTTGTGGAAAGTGATGGGTTTTTATGAGCACTAATATTGTCGGCATTTCGTGTTTGCGATGAATATATGACCAGAAAAGGAGGCCACCGACGAAGCTATCGGAGCTAGAGTCCCAGCTCTCGCAGCTGCAAGACGAGCTCAAGAAAGCCAAGGAGCAGCTGCTCTCCACCGAGCACTCCAAGCGGCGCGCCCTGCAGGAGGCCGAGGACGCCAGGGCGCAGGCGGCGGCGGCGTCCGCGCAGGTCAGGGACTCCGAGGCGCAGCTCGCCGAGCTCTCCTCCGCCGAGGAGAGCCGCCTCCTCGAGCTTCGCCGGCTGTCCCAGGAGCGCGACCGCTCGTGGCAGTCGGAGCTCGAGGCCATGCAGAAGCAGCACGCCGCCGACTCGGCCGCGCTCGTCGCGGCCATGGGCGAGGTGCACCGCCTCCGCGTGCAGCTGGCCGCGGCGGCGCGCGCCGACCGCAAGCAGGACGTGGTGGAGGCGATGGCCACCATCGACGAGCTCAGGGTGAAGCTCAAGGCGAGCGAGGAGGCCGAGGCGCAGGCGCGCGCCTTGCACGAGGAGTGCAAGCAGCAGCTGGAGACGAGCCGTGCCACCATCGACTCGCTGCTCACGGACGGCTCCAAGCTCATGGACTCCTTCAGCCTCGTGGTCAAGGAGCTCGAGGAGTCACGAGCCAAGGTGAAGGCACTCGAGGAGGAGATCGCGGAGACGTCGGCGGCAAAGGCCGGCGAGCGTTGCAACTGCTCGGCGTCGGCGTCGGCATCGGAGGTCGCTGAGCTGAGGTCGGAATTGGAGTCCACGGAGGCCAGGTTCCAAGAAGAGCGCATCCTGAGCACAGTGGAGACGCAGTGCGCCTACGAGCTCATGGACCAGATAAAAATGGAGTCCGACTCGCGGCACGGCAAGCTCGCCGCGGCGCTCGAGAGCACCAAGTCCGAGGTCATCTTCCTCAAGGCGAGCCTCTTCGACAAGGACTCCGAGCTGCGGCGCGCCCTGGACGCGAACGAGAAGCTCCAATCCGAGACGAGAACGGACAACGAGCTGAAGGAGCAGCTGCAGGGCGCGCTCCTGGAGAACGGGCAGCTGAAGCGCGAGCTGCAGCAGCACACCTCCGAGAAGAAGGCCTCGGCGAAGGCGACGGACGCCGCCGACGCGGCGGCGGAGGCGGCGAAGAAGGGGGAGATGGAGGCCGAGCTGAGGCGTCTGCGGGTGCAGGCCGAGCAGTGGAGGAAGGCCGCCGAGACCGCCATGGCGCTGCTCACGGTGGGCAAGGGCGGCAACGGGAAGGTGGTGGACCGGAGCGAGTCGCTTGAAGGAGGCGGCGGCGGCGGCGGCAAGTACGCCGGCCTGTGGGACGAGCTCGACGACGACGCGGCGGCCAGGAAGAACGGCAACGTGCTCAGGCGGATCAGCGGCATGTGGAAGAAATGAGGCTGATCAGAATCAAACTGCGCGCGCTATGCGCTAGGGAATTTGCTCATCTTTTCCCGTGTTGTAGTAAATTCTTTTTGCCGGTTGCTTTGGTACAAAAGGAAAAAGGAGAAAAACATAGGAGTGTGCTTGTACTGGTTGGGGGTAAACGTGCTCATAGCTGTATCATACGTGGTATATGAAGGGTTAATTCATCCGGGCGTGACAGATTGGATTAGGCTTTTTGTTAGTTTTCGTCAGTTCTGATTCTCTCAGATTCACCGATGAGAGCTGTTTGTATGTAACCTTTTGTTCTTCAATCGGCGTGATTCAAACATTTCGGCCCATTTCTCAGTCCTGGGCCCTTTTCTGTCTTGGGCCAGCCCATTTCGTAGCAAACATCACCAGCCTTTTTCGTCAGGATCCCAGATGAAACAAACGAAGAGTTTAGACCGTGGTAAAGCACAAACCATACTACGGGCCTGATACTGTCACCCAACCGCCTTGCAACCTGCAAGTTGCAACAGCAGCAGAAGGGAAGAAGAAGAACCCATATGCTGGCCATGCATTGGCGTGGCGATGGCGATGCGATGCGCTCTGCACTGGCCCCCCCACGTACCACATCAGCATCCATCCTGTCAGGCGGCAGCATTATCCATGCGGATCCCGGCGCGCGGCCCATCCCCATGATCGCATCACATCACATAGCAGAGAAACAGTTTGTAGTGGCGCATTCCCAGCGTCACCTGTTGTCACATGAGACCCGTGGCCCACGAGGGCCCCTTGCTGCTTCCACCACCATGCCTGCGCCCATCAACGAAACGAACGGCCCCTGTTTTTGTGGGGGGTGGCGGTTGGTCACCTTTGCCCTCCGCGCTATCATGGGTTCATGGCAATGCTTGGAGATTTCCTGGCTTTTGACTCATGTCTCGTTGCTCAGTGTTGTGATTGTTTTATCGGATTTGCTACTCCCTCACTATATTATATATAAGACGGACATACTATACTTCCAGCGATATAATTTTCGCCCGATTACATTCGATATTTAAACTTTTGATATTCATCTAGATTTGTGCTGGCTGAAGTTGTTTTGATGTGCACCATGCCCACTACGGCGCTGGGCAACAATGCAGTCGCCGTAGTGTTTAGAATTCAGTGTGATCATTTAACACCTTTCATGTAACTTTGAATAAAATTATGATGTAATTGTAGCGTAACTTTGGTATACTTTTTATAAGTACTGATTCATTTATCTAAGACTCCTAATGAGAAACCAACCCACACCAATGATCTTTGTCGATGTTGTATGGGCCTGGCGATTTGTGGTGATTAAGTTTGTAACTTTGTATCCTATAGTCCCGAAATTTGATGGTTTTCGCCTCTGTTTTATGGCGAGATATTTGTAGATACTTCCTCCGTTTCACAATGTAAGTCATTCTAATATTTCCCACGTTCATGTTGTTGTTAATGAATCTAGATAGATATATATGTCTGGATTCACTAACATCAATATGAATGTGGGAAATGCTAGAATGACTTACATTGTAAAACGGAGGGAGTAGATCCTTATGAGGCACTTTGATTTTTTTTAGTAAAACTTTTTAAAATTTGTCCAAGTTAATAAAAAACATAGTAATATTTACAACACACAACAAACATATTATCAAAATATATTCACCGTTTCATTAAATTAAACTAATTTATTGTTGTAGATGTTTCCAAATTTTCTATAATTTTGGTTAAAAGTGAAAAAAAAATTACTATAAAAAAGTCTAAATGTCTTATAATATAAAATGGAGGGGCTACTTGCAGTCATTTGATAGAAAAACAGGGGAATAAATCTTACATGTTTTAGACTATCTAATTGGCTTCAAGATTTGTGTGCGAGATCTTTGTTCTCTAGCTCGCGATATGTCGATTCTCCCACAGTGAGAACGATGGTGACCCCCTAACAGTTAATAACAGTAGAGGTGGTAGGGGTACGAAGGGGGAGGGGGACCCTTGGTTTAAAGGGAGGTCGAGATGGTGTTTGGCGACGGGTGGTGGATAAGGGGTCGACAAGGCAGTGGCGATACTTCTGAAGCCGTAGGTGGGCAGTGACGGGGAATATTGGCCGAATGGTTACATGGTGATGATGAATCAACAGTAGGATCGGTTAGAGATGAGGGAGATTGGCAAAGTAGAGGTACCTCACCGAATATCAGGAAGAATATGCTAATTAGTTAGGTGGAGATGGAGAAGATCAATGGCGTAGGTAACCTTGTTGGAGATCGCCAGGAGTGGAGGTTGGGAATGACTTGCCTCACTGGTAAGAACGAGTCGCAGGTGAAGATTAGGCTTATATCTTTAGGTCCTCTTTATTTAGGCTTATTAGACGATTTATAAAAAAATCTAAGTCTAAGCAACAAGGCAAGTTTTTTTGTTTGGCTCTTTTAAAACCATAAACCACGATTACACCGTTATGTTAAAAAGTTATGTCAGAGTAACCTATTGGGCTAATGCAAGATGAGATAGGATTACACCATTAAATTTAAGGTTTAAAAGCCAATGACTTATAAACCATATAAGAAAAAATCGACTTAAAACATAAACCTAAACAAAAGGCTAATAAGTGTGTGTAAGAGTTAGTTTAGCCCATTGAATCTTTTTTTTTTAGCGGGGATAGCCCATTGAATCTTTGATACAGAGCGATGGGAAGACTATATATACGAGAGAATTTTTTTTAATAGTTGTATAGACAGCACCTTGTTTTATTGTATTATTCCTGGTAGGAGGAAAGGTGTTTCTGATTAACGAGCGCGGCCACGTTGTGACGTGAACCCATGTTCAGCAAAATGGAGCAATGGACAGCTGATTTTTTCTGACTTTCTTTAGGTGAAGCAAGCGAAAAGTATGCCGTTTGAGCATTTCAGCTGATACGTACGTTGCGCATCCTAATGATAAATGCCAGGGTTATATCAATCATGCAATACCTAATAGCCCAGCTATCAGCCTATCTGAATCTTCTAAGACAATAAAAGCCTTCTATTAGAGAATGAGAGCTGATGTAAGACCATTAGAAATATTCCGGTTTTGCAACTAATGGAATTGCCCCGGTGCAGATGTCTATCCTCTTGATCCTTCTAACGTCTTGTTGTATTCTTAATGCAGTGATTTGAAACTTTAAAATGAAGATTTTTTTAAAGTGTGTTCAACTATATTGTGGGGAAAATGTATGGTGCTTTTCTCATGGCAACATATAAGTAACACTTTCCTTGTTCTGAGACAACAAGCAACATCTTTGATTTTCAGGCATCCATAACGAGCAATAATGGTTGTCAAGCGAAAAAAAGGAGTAGAGTTTATTTCTAAGCATATGTAGTATTACACAACCTTAGAGCACTAAGGCTGTGTTTCAATACCAGGAGTTCCCAACTCCCTCCTCTCATTTTCCGCGCACACGCTTTTCAAATTACTAAACGGTATGTTTTTTTTTAAAAAAACGTTTATATATGAAAGTTGCTTTTTTTAAAAAAATCATATTGATATATTTTTGAAAAAAATTTAGCTGATACTTAATTAATCACACGCTAATGGACACTTCATTTTCCGTGCGTGGGTGATGGGTTCCCAACACCCACCACCCCATCACCCACTACCGAACACACCCTAAGATTATGTATTTCGGTGTGAGTTCCCAACTTCATCTTTCGTATTTTACGCGCAGGTTTTTCAAACTGATAAACGGTGTATTTTTTGAAAAAAAGTCTACATAAAAGTTGCTTTAAAAATTACATTAATCATTTTAAGCTATTTTAGTTAATAACCATTTAATCATGTGATGATTAATTAATCCCTCCGTTTTCCGGGGAGAAGCTGGGAACTTCTCCAAACTGATAATCAGTGCTAAGGGTGATGGTAGTGTCTCACTCTCATCCCAGCGTAGTAAAGTGTATTTCATGAAGTAGTAAATATATCTCCCTTTACTAAATAATCGGATGCTGGTAAATGGTAATGCACGAAACACTAAAATGATAGTGCATTTTAACTGCTTTTTTCTAGTCTACTTAAATTCATCCGTTTTTTCTGTGTTAACAAATTTGTATATCCCAGCATAAATTAAGTAAGCTGATATCCCAGCATAAATTTGTATAACAAAAAATACATCGGAAAATTAAGTAAGCTGATATCTTACTAAGCAAAGGTGAACGGTTAAGCACATCAAACCCATAAAAACCCATCTTTTTCCTTAAGATCATTGACTAATCAACTATATTTCTGTGCTGAAAAGAGCTGGCATTATTTCGTTAGTGTGTGGTAAGTTCTAAAAAAAAGTTTGCGTGTAATATCGCACGCTAGGACCCATTTGAATCACATGAATGAAAAAAAATAGAAAAAACGTAGGATTTTATTCTATGAAAAATAATTCTACAGAGTCCTTAGAAATAAAGGATTATTTCCTACCAATTCTTTTGAAATTACTATGGAATAGACATTGTTTGAGTAATTTTGGAGGAAAATAAGCATGAGATCTCACATCATGTTTATTTTTCTTCGTGTGTCTAAAAATTCCTGTGTTTTTTCTGTGTGCTAATAAAACGACGGTTGGTGACTTTCCTGTGTTTCAAAGTATCATAGGAATCCAATAAGTATGACATTATATTCCTACGTTTTTCCTATTCCTGTGTTTTCTCAATCATGCGTTTTAAAGGGGTCCTTAACAGGAATGCAAATACAAAACACTGTAAAACATAGGAATGACAATGTTGACCGCAGGAAATACACCAAAATCAGATGAGAAAGATATATTTAAAGGAAATTTTTCAAGATGTTGAATATCTTACTAATTTTCCTCCAAAATTTCTATAGGATCATTCATTCTATAGAAATTTCAAAAGATATGATATGATTCAATCCAATGTTTTAAAGGTCTTCACAAGAAGTTTTTATAGGATTAAAATCCTCCAAAATTCTTATACTTTTTCTACATATTAAGGGCCCCTTTGAATCGTAGGAATGAAAAAACAGAGGAATAGGAAAAACACAGGATTCTGACAGGAATACAATTGTAAAACAGAGGATTGCAAAACACAGGAAAAACACAGGAATGGCCGTTTGATTGGACCACAGGAAAAACGCAGGAATCAGATGAGAGAGATAGACTCAGAGGAAATGTTCCAAGAGGTTAGACCTCTTGCTAACTTTCCTCCAAAATGTGCATAGGATTACCCATTCCATAGGAATTTTAAAGGATTGGATAGGATTCAATCCTTTGTCTCAAAGGCCTTCATAAGATTTTTTTTCCATAGGATTGAAATCCTCCAAAATTCCTACATTTTTCCTACAAATCAAAGGGGCCCTAAAGGGGCCTAATACTATTGAGTTGCCTTTGCGTATAAACTATTGTTCAGAAGTCTCTTGGCATTGTGTGTCTAGCCGTATAGTCTAGAGTACATTTTTCCAGCCATGCTACTGCATAAAGCATACTGTAGCATCCCAGGCTCCCAGTAGACCCAGTCCCAATCATGCAAAGTCTGATCCAACGGTCCAAAGAGTTCTATGGCACAAACACTGTAGCTCTCTGTGTATAGTTGATCGTACAGAGGATCCCTGTGGCCTTGCCCGTGGAGTCATGGACAACCAACCCTCGTCTCTTCAATAATCAATACTACTACTACCATCTCTTTTATTCTTTTGTTGTTACAAAATCGATTGCACTTACGATCGTGCGACGTTCGGTTGCTCACCCACTTCAAGTCTGCGCAGTTCATTCTTAGGTGGTGTTTGGATGTTATGACTTAATTTTAGTCTCTATATTTAGACACTAATTTAAAGTATTAAATATATACTATTTACCAAACTAATTATATAAATGAAAGCTAATTTGCGAGATAAATTTTTTAAGCCTAATTAATCCATAATTAGAGAATATTTACTGTAGCATCACATAGGCTAATCATAGATTAATTAGACTCAATAGATTCGTCTCGCGAATTAGTCCAAGATTATAGATGGGTTTTATTAATAGTCCACGTTTAATATTTATAATTTATATCCAAACATCCGATGTGATAGGGAGTTAAAAGTTTTAGTCCCATCTAAAGGTCTTACCACGGTACAATAATTTCTGATCGGAAAAGCGACGCCCGGCACCCGTACCAAGTCACTGACCATGCATCAACAAGCAATCATGAGAGCATTGGTGTCTTGGTGATTAGAGATGTGTAGTCTCACAATAATGAAAGGATCAAACCACCACGCAGTACCTCAGTGTCGTGATAAGTACATTGTACATATATCAATGAATACATACAAATATACAACTAGTAGTAGCAGATTAATGTACTACTCACTCCGCTGCAAAGTGCAAGGTGGAAAGTATGTATGGCCAAGATTCTACGCGGAGAGGCCATAATCTACCATTCTACCCCCAATGATTAGCCACCTGGGTTAGTGCATGTGACTACACAAACACAAAAACATAATAGTAGCAGTGTTCAAGATGACATGTGAGCACAGCTGAACATACGGTATTTGACTGGACAGAAAAAGCTCTCGCCTCGGCGCTCGGTGATCAGCACGTTCTCATGAACCTTTCACCGCGGCGGCGCGGTGAGAGTTTACAGATGGCACTATCAATCCATCGCGCCCTCAATCTCACTGTGGCAATCAACAAAGCTGCAGGTTGCAGGCAAAGGCAGAGCCTTTCGCTCGCGTACGGGTGAAAAGGCAGCGGCGCGCCGGGGTGAAAAGGCGGCCGGAGACGGCTGCCCAAACTGGCACTCGGCACGTGCAAGGGCACCAAGAACCGAGGCCAAATAGGCCATGGCCGCTCCCCACCCAAGATCCAAGACACCGCACAAAGGCTGGCATGCACACAGACACAGGAATAGTAGGAGTAGAGGAGTAAAAAAGAAAAAAAAAACCCCGAAAGAACTCGATCCAAGTAACGGATCTCATCTCGTTGGCGGCTTTGCACTGTCACTGACACCAACGCTATTTTAATCGCATGATTGAATATTGATGTGCCATCGCCACCCATTTGCAGCTTGTTTTATACCGCTCCCCCTTCGACCGGAACATGGGTGGCAAAAACCTGCAAAAAGTTACTCCTACAAACGACGAGAGCAGTTTGCGGTTGCTCATCAGCTTTGTCCCTGCTCTGTAAAAACCGCCGAGCATCGCCTTTTTTCCAGCTCTGCAAGACCACAAACGTTTTTGCATCTACGGGTACACTCGCACTTAATCAAAGGCTTAAACGCCTCATTTAACACGGCATTAACGGCAAGTAGGGTATACTACCAGCCCCGCCCCCCCACGTAACAGACCCAAAGGACTAGACTCCTATCTATATTTTACATGTGGACCACGTATACTTGGGGGAGGTCAGGTCTACAGGTGTCGTGTCACGGCTTGTGTACGAGCCGGTGTAGTCGTACTCGTACCTGCCACCGGTTAGGCATGCACGGCCCGCACGGCGCCGTCCCGGCTCGTACAAGCAACGGAAAAAAAAAACCCGCCGCTGACGTGTGGGCCACCACCGCGCCGTCCCGTCCCGTCCCGCCCACGGCGAGGTGGGGCCCACCTGTCATGGACCAGCAGCAGCTGGGGGGATTCGCTCGCCTTCCGCCTCCATAAGAGGCGACAGCGACACGCCTCTCCGCTGTCACGGTGCGGTGAGCCGGTGACCGCGGCGACGGAGAGAGAGAGAGAGAGGAGGAGTTCGTAGAATCGTACTAGAGGAAGAGGAGGGAACGAACGGCTCGTCGTCGTCGTGGGGCCCGGTGCTGCTGCTGCTGCTGCTGCTCGCGGTGGTCCCCACGCGGTCAGAGGGGGGCGCGGGGGGGCCCACGTAACGGCTGGTGGTGGTGAGGAGGAGGAGGAGGAGGGCGGGGTCGTCGTCGTCCGGGGTGGTGGTGGCCGCGACCGCGAGAGCGAATCAATTCTGCGTGCTGCCGATAAAAGCCAAAGCGGCGGCGCCTTTCGACGGGGCGAGGAAAGTAAAAAAAAAAAAAGGAGAGAAGAAAAAAAAACAGGTTGGGTTATCCACCATTTCCGCCTCTGTGAGTGTTGAGATTTCTTTTTTCTTTTCCGTCTCTTCCGCTTAAGATGGCTGGGGTCGTTGATTTGATCTGACCCGTAGTAGAAGCAGGGGGAGGGACGGTGGGCGGTGGCTTGGGAGGGAGGCAGGGGCGGGGCGGCTCGAGTTAGGTTTCTTGGCGGCTTCAGTTGGGCGAGGAAGGTGAGCGGCTTTCGGTGGTTGGTTGCTTTGAGGTGAAAGCTCTCTCGCCTTTTCTCACTGTAAAAAACGGCATCTTTCTTTTGGGGTTTTGCGTTGCGTCCCCCGGTTTTGGCGTTCTTCCTGGCTGCGCGCTTTCCGTGGCTCCGCTCCAGGTGAATCCAGGGTTAATTTCGCTGCGCATTTGTGATGGGATTTGGCCGCAGGTGGCGAGGGTTTGTTTCGGGGGTGGGGGATTTTGTCAGTCTGGGTTGGTGTTTGATCCTTTTGGTTTGAGAGGTTTTGCCGCTGCCAGATTGATCGAGCGAGGAAGGAGAACACGCGGAACTAGGATAATTTAGTGGTCAAAGTTTTGCCCTTTTTTGTGAGAAAGGTAGTAAGTTGTGGTGGAGTTTGGCGACTGACGTTAATCGTCTAGCTCCAAACCATGGAGTTCGGTTCCTTGCTTCTTTTTTTACTCTGATCGGTTTAAGGCTTTTGCGTGCTCCTTTTTTGTCAATTTTTGGTGGCCATGCTGATTTTCTGGTAAAATTAAATCTTTGATTTTACGAGTGGGGATACTTGACCGGTTGGGTTTGAGGCAGTATCATAATACTGGCAGAACTTCTGATCTTTAACACATCTTACTAAAAACCCTCTTTTCTGTGCGCGACCATGTCGAACTTTTTAATTCTGCAGAAAACCATAGATTTTACTGGTGGTTATATGATTTCAGCTGATCTTTTACAGCCATTCGTGTCCTGAACCTTTGGTGTCTGCTCTGATGCTTTCAGGCTTTAGCTGAAGACACAATAAAGGAACACCAAAAAAATGGGTAAGAAAGGAAATTGGTTCAGTGCTGTCAAGAAAGTCTTCAGCTCATCCGATCCAGATGGGAGGGAAGCTAAGGTATGCCAAAACTTATCTGCTTCCTCAATAAATCGCTATACTTGTCATAAAAATTCTCCTTGCTTCAATATATATCTTTTGATTACCATGAAGATCGAGAAGGCGGACAAGTCGAGATCCAGGAGGAAATGGCCATTTGGAAAGTCTAAGAAGTCTGATCCTTGGACCTCAACAGTGGCAGTGCCTACCTCTACAGCACCGCCTCCACAGCCGCCACCGCCACCGCCAACACACCCTATCCAGCCACAGCCTGAGGAGATCAAAGATGTCAAGGCTGTTGAAACTGACAGTGAACAGAACAAGCATGCGTACTCTGTTGCACTTGCCTCTGCTGTTGCTGCAGAAGCTGCTGCCGTCGCTGCCCAGGCCGCTGCTGAGGTGGTCCGCCTCACAACAGCCACCACGGCTGTGCCGAAATCGCCTGTTAGTTCAAAGGATGAGCTTGCCGCTATCAAGATTCAGACTGCCTTCAGGGGTTATCTGGTAACCAACTGCACTTGTAGTATAATTGTGTTCGTCCTTGTCACCCATGTTTACGTCTTTTCACTAAGAATACACCCAAAAAATGATTATATCTTGTTATTTGTGCGGGTCACTGTCTTGGGCATTTATTTTTCATTCCTGAGCATGCACTTTAGCTAACAGCCTGCTAATATTAAGTGTTTGTAAGATATCTAATTTGGTTGGTAGAAAATTGCTGTCAGATGCATCATTTTCTGCTTTGTCCATTTTGGTAACACCGTCAATATTGTGTTCTGCTGGTCAAAATGAAACATACATTAGTCTGACGTTTGATGTTTCCAGACTCCAGTGTTGTTACACATCACAATATGTTGGTGTTGATATAATAGCTATAAAAATCAAAGTGAAGCAAGACAAGATACTTCCATTGGGACTTGATGAGCTTTAAATCTTTGTTAAGTTCTGTTTTATTTATGTGACATTAAGTGGCTACTTATTTTACAGAACTAATATTATTTCAGGCAAGAAGAGCGCTGCGAGCACTTAGAGGGCTAGTTAGATTGAAGTCGCTGGTTGATGGAAACGCCGTCAAACGACAAACTGCGCACACCTTGCATTGCACACAAACCATGACCAGAGTTCAAACTCAAATATACTCTAGAAGGGTGAAGATGGAGGAGGAAAAACAGGCTCTTCAAAGGCAGCTACAATTAAAGCATCAGAGGGAACTTGAGAAAATGAAGGTAAGCACTCCGTAATCCTTCCAAGATCCTATAGATTCTTTTATCGGTATTTTTTCTTCTTTACAGTCTACAAGCATAAATCACTTATGGAGCCTACTTGAGCCATTCCATATTCTATACTTTTATTTATGGAATAGAAGAAACATAAACCATAGCAAAAATTACTGTTGCATGATAGTAGAGTTTTATGTAACCTTAAAAGTTCTGCTATAATAGAATGAGCTGATTCTGATATATAGCAGGTTTCTAACAATACTATGCTATTTTATTTCATTGACAGATTGATGAAGATTGGGATCATAGCCATCAGTCCAAGGAGCAGGTTGAGACCAGCCTAATGATGAAACAAGAAGCTGCGCTAAGGCGGGAAAGAGCTCTTGCCTATGCATTTTCTCACCAGGCAAGTTTCCTCTTTGAATTACTCACTTTTCTTGTTATTTTCCTCCTTATTCTTACCTATTGTAGCTTTAAGTGATATCTCGATAGATGTAATTGTATATCTCGTTACTAAAAAAAGCCCCTTCTCTGTTTTGACTCCTGCAGTGGAAGAATTCTGGCCGAACTATAACACCTACCTTCACGGATCAAGGGAATCCTAACTGGGGATGGAGCTGGATGGAACGCTGGATGACATCAAGGCCTTGGGAGAGCCGAGTGATATCAGATAAGGATCCTAAGGACCATTATTCAACAAAGAATCCCAGCACTAGCGCTTCTCGTACTTATGTACCCCGCGCAATCTCAATCCAGAGACCTGCAACACCAAACAAGTCAAGCCGTCCACCAAGTCGGCAATCGCCATCAACTCCCCCGTCAAGGGTCCCCTCAGTTACCGGAAAGATCAGACCAGCAAGTCCACGGGATAGCTGGCTATATAAGGAGGATGACTTGAGGAGCATCACAAGCATACGCTCTGAACGCCCAAGGAGGCAGAGCACAGGTGGTGCCTCTGTTCGGGATGATGCGAGCCTAACAAGCACACCAGCTCTCCCCAGCTACATGCAGTCCACAGAGTCTGCAAGGGCGAAGTCTCGGTACCGCAGTCTATTGACTGACAGGTTTGAGGTTCCTGAGAGAGTACCCCTGGTCCATTCTTCAATAAAGAAGCGCTTATCCTTCCCAGTCGCAGACAAACCAAATGGTGAGCATGCAGATAAGCTGATGGAAAGAGGGAGGCGTCATTCAGACCCTCCTAAGGTGGATCCTGCCTCACTGAAGGATGTTCCGGTTTCATAATTCAGTCATATTATCAGAGCTTATTATTGTTAGGTTGCTTTTCTTCCTTTGTGTATTTTCTAATTTAGATTGCATTCTCGAGAGTCGAGGTTGAACCCTCCGTGAAAATGTATGATTTGTCAGGGTTGATTTGAGACAATTCTAACTGTTTACAGGCAGTTTTTTTCCTGATGATTGTTGTGTGTGAAGAGTAAGAAAAAGAAAATGAAGCGGTGGAAAAAAATGGTGGTGTGTTCTAATATTGTGTGTGCTTCTCTTCCAATGTACAATACTCCATGAACTATGGGTTGACCTATTAATTGTAAGACATGGGTTTTTCTGGTTATGAAATATGTGTGCCCGATGTGCTGACCCAGTTGGCTATGGAAACTATGGAACTGTGATTCCAGTTCTTTTTTCAGTGACTTAAGAGTTTATGCTAAAAAGGTTTACATGCTAGCAGTGCAGCGAGATTATGTAACATTGACATCTTCACTTGATGCATGCCCATATACCAAAAATGCGATTGTTGAATGTGATAGTGCTGCTAGCAGTGCAGCGAGATTATGTAACATTGACATCTTCACTTGATGCATACTCATATACCAAAAATGCGATTGCTGAATGTGATAGTGCCAAATATATATGTCGTATGGATGATGAATGCTTGCTACCACCTTTTATTTGTATCCAGAGAACATAAGATCTTAATTGCACTGTACTTGTGGACTGTGAGTTTGCGCCAACTGACAATTTTGTTTGGGGTTTGTACATGTACTAGTACCTAGCATTATTACAAGATTATACTCCATGGTGGACTGGGAATCTGTGAGTTGCAGCAGGCAAATTAATTAAGAGGGACTCATTGTGCAGAAAAAGAAAGAACAGGACAGTATTTCTAACTTGCATTCAAAGAAGAAGAGAAATCCAGGTAATGCAGAGTAATGCCAGTTATCTTATCTACTGTATTGGCTGTCTCTGTGAAACGACAAAAGGCACAATGCTTTGGTAACACTGTTAACAAACGACAAGGGCAAACGATCAGGATTTCAGAATGCTGTATTCCCAACGATCAGCACGCCGCATGCGCATGCTCTTGCAATCATGCTTGCTTGGCTAGTACTCCAAATAACTCAGCCGACAGACGCATTGCTTACACACGTCGTAACAGTTCAGCTAGATGCTTGTCCTATATAGGACACTAGTACTTGTCTATCGTTCTTGGTAGATTCTGCTGGTTTTGGTACCTGAACATCTCCATACCCATATCAATGTATTCAGGTACGCCGATTATTTGGTTGGTAGTAGTATCGGTGGCCGACTTAAACTAGAAACATGCACAAGGCACTTACTAATCATTTGTCGAAAGAAAAGTCTTTTGCTTCGCTGAAAGCACCATTCTTCTCCAAGTAAGTTTAATAGCAGAGTTAACTATTGTCTATAAGCTCTTACACGTAGTATACTGCAGCTAACATCTAGGAGTACAATAGTTTGTCTACAAAGCTGTCTCCAATTTTTATCCTCCCCTCTCTTTCTTCAGTTCCTCTATTTCATTCACCTCTTTTGGATCGCCTGCAAGATTGACTCTTGCATAAAAGCATGCTCTCTCTTTTTCTCGTCTCTCTTCTCCATATTTGAGAAGAAAAAAAAAAGTAAGCAAGCTTGTAGCTTGCTATTGTACTTGCTCTCAGTTTTTCTTCATTTTGGTTGCAGGATTGGAATTCCCTTCCCCTTCTGAAACCAGCATAAACCAATGATACTTTTCTTTTTGACACAAAATAACTAGCAAGAGCATTGGATGCTGATGCTCTCTAACAAAACAAAAACATAGCATAAACTCTGCCCATAGATATAGCTCAATGCCCAATATTGGGCCTAACTTCCACAGAACTAGGCCCTGGGCTCAATCAGCCTATTTGCTAGGCCTTTGGGCCCAATTAGCCCGTGCTTGTACGGCCCAACCAGTTCACCACCCACCGATAAATGGCCCGACCCGCGACCGCGCGAGCGAGCGAGGCGAGCGAGCGAGCTCACTGTTGCCTGCGTCGTCGTCCTCGGCTCGGCTCCTCCCTTCCCTCGCGGATCTGAGGTACGCGCGCACCCGACCTCCTCCCTTCTCCCCGTCGCGTTCGCCTTCTCTCCATTCCGGATTCTCCCTGGGAGCCCTAGGGTTTGATTCGGGTTGGTTTTCTCCGCCCGCGCGCGGGTGCTGCCTGCGGTGCGGGGCGCGAGGATCTGATCGGGACTCGTGCCTTCCGCCATCGACGCGCCGCAGTGACGGAGCCGCCTGGTCGGTCGCGCCACCCGGAGGCCGGATCCGCAGGGCGCTGGCCTTGTTGATTCATTTCGCTGGGTGCGTTTGCCTGTCGGAATCTCTCGGGTTGGAGTCCAGGCTCGTGTTGGGAGTGCCGGTGGGGTTTGCACGAGTTCTTCGTAGCGTCTCTTAATTGCTTAGAAAATTTAGTTTGTGCGCCACCGGGGCGTTCCGTTTGTCTGGATGGTCGGTTTACGTGTGCAGTATGAGGATCGTCCGATAGTGTGCGTTTTTGCGAGGAGTGTTGCATGCCAAGCAGTTTGGTTGTGAGATTTTCTTCCTGTGATTCAGTACTTTGTGAGTCTGGATCTCTGGATATACGCACGTTATGCTTAGAATTTCTGCACTAGTTGGACGTTGCTTAATTAGGAAAACTAGCTTGAGCCTTACGTTGTTTCAATTAGGCATTGATATCATATTTTTTCTGTTACGTGGGTTTGTATTATGTGATTTTTTTTAACATGGTTGTTATAAATCTATGAAAGTTTGTATTTTTTTCATCACATCGGATGTAGTAACGTCTAGTGGTATGCTGATTGATGCCTATCCATCATCAGCAATTTATGCTATATAAATTCCTAATAACCAGTATTCCCAAATATGTCTGATTTCATCTGTGTTCACGATGGTCACTAACTTCATGCAGTTTTTCCTTGTTATTGTGTTTTAGTAACTTTGATTGGCCTCAATTGGATCTTGAACTTTTGATGCAATTCAAGTGTGCTGGTTTTTATTTAGTTTATGCATCACAACAGCGGCAGTATTCTCTGGTCATTAATAAAGTTTGTTAAATCCTGTTGGACATGTGACGCAAAAGCATAAGAAACATTGTACTTATTGACAAACTCATTATTTATGTTTTCTGTGGTTATGCATCTGCAGTGTTGACAAATTTATTTTGTTCAGTTGTCTCGCATGGATCGATTGCTTTGGAACTCATTACTTTCCGTCTTGCAGTTCTATATCTTGTCAACTTGGATTTGGTAATCCCTGGAACTAAAAAGGCCATTCAAAATGGTATGGCTGGTTTATTCGAATTGCTCATTTGCAATGTTACTGTGTTGTAAATTGATTCAGGAAAGGACATTTAGTAAGGGCATCACAGCAAAGGAATGAGCATTATCCTTGTTTCATTTTAAACTGTTGCATTTTTTTGCTCTATTAAGAAGAGTGATTGTTTCTTTTATACACATACAGGTGGTTCTTGCAGCTTCTATTATATCGAAGTCTGGAAAAGGTGAGTTTGTTGAAAATTTCCAATTCACAGTATCTTTTGTTATTGATTTATTTATTGGATTCACAACTTTCTCGAACAATTGACTTGTTGGATTCACAATTCTCTAATGGGATGTCCTCTTATATTAGCTCTTGCAGCCCAAAAAAGGGGCAATACAATTTTGCTAACAATAGCAATTAACATCCTTTTCTTATACGCAAGTACACCAATTCTATCCAAGTAACAACACTAAAATGGCTTTTATATGCACAAGTTTTGGTCTTTAGAATTTTTGCATTTTGTAGTCTGTTTATGTCTACACTTATAATGTTATGAACAAGAAATTTGTCATTTTTTGATTTCAGCTCTTGTTTCGAGACAATTTGTTGACATGTCCCGGATAAGGATCGATGGGCTGCTTGCAGCATTTCCGAAGCTGGTCGGAAGTGGAAAGCAACATACTTATGTTGAGACTGAAAATGTTCGTTATGTCTATCAACCAATTGAAGCACTGTATTTGCTTCTCATCACAAATAAGCAAAGTAACATTCTTGAAGATCTGGATACTTTAAGGCTACTCTCCAAGCTTGTATCCTACCATCAGTTGTGCTATATTTCTATTCTCAAACGCTAAATTATTTCTTTAAAAAAATGTAGCTATTTCAGAAAGATTAAAAAAAAGGCTGTAGCTCCGCATTCAATAGTTTTATCACAATGAAAAATTCGAACTTATATTCTTTTTGGCAAGGAGAAAAGGGCAGTATTAAGTGTAACTGCAGAACAACTTCACTTTGGAACAAAGATCAACAGAGTAGTCACCACTAACCTGATAAACCCTATTTCTTGTTGCTGACGACATAGTTAGTATTTGCCTTTTGTGCATACCAATTCAATGCAGTGATTTCCTTGAACGTCTACAAAGATACCTGAATATGCTCCCTCTTTGGATGAAGAGGGTGTCTGTAAGGCAGCATTCGAGCTTCTGTTTGCCTTTATTGAAGCCATTTCTCTTGGAAACAAAGAGAACGTAACTGTTGCACAAGTTAAACAATACTGTGAAATGGAGAGCCATGAAGAAAAGCTGCACAAGCTGGTTATGCAAAGCAAAATAAATGAAACTAAGGATGTCATGAGGAGGAAAGTCACTGAGATTGAGAAAAGCAAGGTTTGTGCTACCTATACTCAAATATAGAGCATGTAGTTATCTGGTTCAGTGTAGTTACATCTCAGTATCACATGGAACCTTAGATCTTAAATGTTGCAAACTGTATCTACGAACACATAGGAAATATATGCTAAAAATTAATGTTGAAGGCGTAGTGAACCAGTAACTGCATAGCTTTATTTTTCATCTTTATATAAGTTGGTAAAATCTGTTGAAATATGCAGACTGATAGAGGGAAGCCTGACAAGGGAGGATTTGGATCCTTGAGAACTCCAAACAGCTTCAGTGACATGGGCATTAGAGGTGGTGGTCCAGGGGGCGATCCTATATTTGGTGATATGGACTCGTTCACCCACAAGGCCAAAGGTTTGTACTCAAACAAATGCCTTACATGTGGAAATGGAAATATTATTTAGCATTTCCTTTTGGAGTCCTATCAAGGAAGCTGACTAGACTTGTAATATTCCTGTAACAATAAATTTTCCTGAGCATTGGTAACCAAAACTAGTAGTAAATATTTTATGGCAGTTCTTTTAGCCTGTTCATACATACACCTAATGATTTAGGGAGAGAATCATCCATGCAGCATAAGATAGGATTTCAACCAGTTATTTTAAATTATATTTCCGTGCTCCTATGATTTGGATTAGGTTCTA